CATGATGTACCTATCCCATGATGTACCTTGCCCATGATGTACCTTGCCCATGATGTACCTAGCCCATGATGTACCTAGCCCATGATGTACCTAGCCCATGATGTACCTAGCCCATGATGTACCTAGCCCATGATGTACCTAGCCCATGATGTACCTAGTCCATGATGTACCTAGCCCATGATGTACCTAGCCCATGATGTACCTAGCCCATGATGTACCTAGTCCATAGCGTTTGGATGTCTCTTGACCTTGAGCCGGCTCCCTTTCCAGGTAGATCCTTGGTTATTAAAAGTGATTTGGTTTGAAACTTTCACCGTCACTACGTTTGTATTCCCATATTCCCTGTTTGACGTAAAAGCAAAACCGTCCTTTAGTCACTTGGCTTTAATCTACCCCCTCACTATGACCAACGTACAACCGGCAGGGTACCACTGCCCATAACACAAACCATATGCAGATGCATATGCGGATGTTTCGGTCGATGGGGCATGGGGCGGTTTGTGGTCTGGGCGACGTGGGGGGCTCTGTATTAGTCTTGTAGTAAGCAAGGATTTTTTTTTCCAATGGCAGGCAATCTACAGGCACTGCCTTGGTGATCGACCCGGTCCCCCTGGTCTAATGCATGTGCTCACTCACTCAGTACAACCCCCAGTGGACTGATAGGAATAGCAACTACTTCTATAGGAATGCAATGTATGTCTTTCTGTAATTCTCACAAAAGTCATCCGGCGGGCCGCACTGGACCCCCCTATACCCTTGGCCGGAGTCTGACAGCCATGCTTCTGAAGACCTGAAGAGCACTCAGTGTGTTCTTAAAGGGCCGGTGTGCGGTCTGGTGATGTTGTTGCAGAATGCGACCAACCCCTTTGGCTCACTTCTCTGACTCCTGCTGAGTGCAAAACCGAGGTCGTCCATACCGTGGACCGGTTTGGAACTCTTCCGCTGGCTGTGTGAACCATGCTGGCCTTTGTCCAACGTACCAACATGACGGACTGCGAAGACCTTCTGCTTTAGTGTAAATTTGAAGGGCTCACACCTTGGTTCTTGGTTTCAGGGTATCACGCGCTAATGTCAATGCCTCTCTTTATTAAATGGATCTCCCATGATTTGGTTCTACATGATGCCCTGGTACTGTGACCTAACTTGGTTAGGCTCACCCAGTCCATGACTGACTGGACAGTTTAAACCTTTTCAACTTCAAATGGTGCTCTGGCAATCCACGTTATTGTTGTTTTTTGGGTTTCTGCCACACACACAGACAGCATCGGTTATGTGCCTTCCTGCATCTGTTCATCTGCGAAGCAGAAGTGTGTTTCTTGAAGTTTTTGAATTCGCAGCGCAGCTGTGTGGACATGTAATGTAATGCTTGAGTGTATTCTGGGTTGAACAGTTTCCTTTTTAGGGAAAGATGGAAATGAAAGTCTGTGTTGTGTGTGTGTGTGTGTGTGTGTGTGTGTCTCATTGGAGACAGCTTGAGAAATAGTTCCCAGACCCATTTTACCTGACATGCAAATATCCGTACTGGAGGCCTGCTCAGCATTCAGTGTGTGAGCACAGTGTGTGCTGCACAGATTGTAACACCGCTTGAAGCACGTTTATGATTTGGGATCTTGGGCTGTGTAAATAAAGTGACTTCACATCCCTTTGAATCATGAAGCATTACAAACTGTTGTTCACAAGGGGGGAGCTTTTGCTTTTTGCACATCCAGAAAGTGCTGCTCATAGTCAGTCGGGGGCTACTGCACTGTGTGGCACCGTGGGCTGATCACAAACGTAATCCCAAAACAGTGCATGTTATATGTGAGAGTTATGATTTTCTGCCGTGTAACGACCCCCTCTGGGCCTGCTGGCGGCGCTGCAGAGATTTACGGGTTTCATAAAAGGGCATCAGGCTAAAAATGACATTTTCCTTCCGTCCCCATCAGTGAACTCGTCCAGGGAGCGGTGAATACGGCCGATGTGGGTGTGTGTGTGTGTGTGTGGGGGGGGGGGGGTGTGGGCGTTTAGGCACCGGCAGGTGTGCACAGGCTTGTGCGCAAACCCATCTTCAGATTGCAGAGAAGGGGGTTTAAAGCAGCATTTGGCCGCCTGCCACTAGGAACTTCCTGCACAACATTGTGAAATCACTCATTTCCAACCTGCATGAGCAATTTGAGGCAATAAACCGACCCTTTTCTTGCCATTGAGGAAATTCCCTTAACCTTTTTGCATCCCGAACCAATTCCGCCCCAACAGCTTCACACTCTTGCCTCTAAAATCCCCAAAAATGACTGTATAACTCTCCATTACGGCACAAGCAGCATCCTGCACCACTGTTCCTGGTGTCTGCATCCTCACAGTGCCTTGGAGCCCCTGGAGGCCTTCGTAGTAACACACACACACACACACACACACACACACACACACACACGCTTTATGGAATGGTGTGAACAGCACTTAGCCGTAGGTATGTTCTCCTGAAAAATGCTGCGATAGAGAAAGTAAAAAAAGATTGTTTAATCCTGGCCTCAAACACCGGTAGAAAATAGGACTGGGCGTGGAACGCAAGAGATTAGGCCACTGGATTAACTTTATATTTGTTTGCTAATAGCATCCGCAGGTGCAAGAGGCGAGGAAGGAAGTGGAGGAGAGGAGAGGGGATACGAAAAGAAAGATACAGAGAAAAGGGCAAATAAATAGTAAGGAGAAGGAACAGGATATTTTGACACGTATGTGATTTTTTTTTCTTTTTTTGGGGCAAATATGAAATATGAGTCTTTTGCAATACCCTGTTAATGTACGTGGCGCAAAATTGATGTTTAGGTCAGTGTTTATGGTTAAGTGAAGTGCATGTAATGTCTAAATAAACATTGTTCTGTGTGTGTGAGTATTTCATAGGAGTTCCATAGAAACCAAAGTGGTGTCACATGAAGGCCAAAAATAAGTGTTATCCCGAGAAGGGTTTTCTCGCGCTCTCTCACAGAGAAGCGAAAATGTTCTTTATATATTTTCCAAAATCCAGAGGGAGTTTTTTGTTTTTTGCCACAGCATTATATTTTTCTCAGGCTAAGGAAGCGGGCCTGCCCCCAATTTGGTGAAAGTGCCCCGGGGGGGGGGGGGGGGGGCACTATATTGCTCTAAGCAGAAGATGCAGTTCCTCTATACAGTATATCACAGGTTGCATTAAGGTTGGGCCGTTAATGTCATGCAGTGGCCAGTGACTTTATGACTCGTCTGTAGCTCATACCGTAAAAGCCATGAGCTGCTGATCCCTAATCTTATTTAAGTCCCCCTAAAGCTGACTTTTATAGGCTGTAAGCCTGCAGATTTCATATGTGCTCAAAACCCCCAAGACATTACTTGCATGATAGAAGAGGCAATTGTCTCTCAGTGAGACCGTGAAAGCTCCCAGCAGCAATAGCCCTCGTTTACCATCTGTCTCCACTACTCATTTCCAGTTTAGTTACTAACAATACAGTTTCCTACTTAATTACTATATTCTCGTTAAAAACATTGGGATTTATTAAATTAAAAAAAAACTTTTTAAACGGTTGGTTGGGTGGCACAGGGGGAAAGAAGAAACGTGGTTGTATAGAAGTCTGTGAGAAGACGAGTCCACTTCTCTCGATCTTTTTCTTTACTCAACATTGTAAACAAGTTTGAGGTCTCAATCTCTAGTTTCAGCACGGCATGATGTTCATTTAGTACATCATGGTCCATTTAGAGCATAAAGCAGAGTATATTTTAGAGCTGGGCTACCTTGTGATTGACAGGTCACTAATGCCACCAGAGCCGCATTTAACATTCCAAATTTGGTAACTTTCTTTCATTGGTTGTGGAAAATAATTCAAAGCGATGGCAAAATTGTAAAGCTTGAGGCTTTGACAAAGCAATGGGTGACGTCTTATTATGTACATATACATGGTGAGATGCTTTGTCTGGGCATGGCCAAGGTTTTGCAGTGGGTCCTTCGGCGTCATGCACTGGTTGGCTCCTGTGGGCGTCTTATTGGCCATTTGAGCGTGTTTAAATGAAGCTTAGGGGAAAATTCAGTGGGCAGGTTGACATATGTGGCAATGAATGGCTTCCTAAAGGTGATCAACTGAATATTTACCATGAAAATAGCGGAAAATGGCTATAAGCAAAGTTATGATATAGTATGGGAGAATGGGAGTCCCTCTCCCCCTGTGTGTGTGTGTGTCGCGTGGTGTGTGTGTGTGTGTGTGTGTGTGTGTCACAGTAAAACCGTAGGCGCTCTGCATTGGTGATAATACGACTACCACCACCTGCTGGCAGAGTTATTTCATCTTGTGCATGCACACAAGTGCAAGTAAACCGTTGTCTTTCTGGTGTGAGGCGACACTTTTTTGTCAAGACACAGGGGACGCAAGGTCCCTCTTTGATGTCTGTCCGCAGGGCCGGGGCCTTTATTCTCGACAGGTAAACATAAACGCATGTTTGTCTACTTTTGCATGTTTTAAGACGATACGTTTGCACCTAAATGACATGTCACAGGGGGTCCTGCCACCTGGAGATTTTTCTCTATCAATCCTAAACTGTGGCTCGATTTGCAAGTTGTTCCAAGTTGCTGTAACATGTTTTGTCGCGACTAAGTGAAAGTTTGATAAACTCAAGTAACGATTGTGATTTTATAACATTGGAAGGTTATTAGCATGCATACAAATATTCAAATTGTATCTTTTTTTCAACTAACTTTTGGAAATATTATGATTAGGATGATCTGTTTTTGTCTCACTTACTATGATGACAGTTTTCTGTAAAAGTTTAGCCTATTATTAGGTTGTAATTATTATTAGCTTTTAATACCATGTTTAGGTTATTATTAGTTATAGTGGTGCTTTTGAGTGTAACTGGCTCTGCTTTCATGAAAGTGTAATTATTTTCGCTGTAGAAATGTTTTTTACAAACTCGACAGGTCCATTAATCTCCGTCTTTCACTCTGACTGAAGCGCAGTTCTTCCAGGAACTGCTTCGCAAACTGTTCTTATTTTGGCTCCAACGACTTGCCGTCGCGCGCCAGTCTCCGCCTTCGCTATAAAAGGCAGCTGCTCGCGCTCTTCCGGTCTTCTGCCTCCACGTCAACCGGTGCCGCTTCCCCGTAAACGCAACGTGAGCGCCTTTGTTAAGGTAATGTGAGCGTTTTTGCTCGTATGTGCGACTTCTGTGACATATAGACGGCTCCCCGCCTCCCGGTAACACGCATCTCTTTCACGCCAGCTTTAATCACTTGTTTAATCAACATTTTTTTTTCAGCCGGTCTTGTCGCGAGTGAACGTGGTTTAAAGGCGTTAACGTCTGCAGCGCGTCACTAGTTCTTAAAGGAGTAACTAACGTGACGTTGGTAAGCAAGGCCTCCGGTAATGGACGTTATGTGTCTGGCGCGGTGTTGGAGGAGCTTTTTGAATAGATGGTGTCCGTCGCATAGCGGAACAAAAGGCCGCGAGGCGCCGTGGAGGCCCGCCGCTGTCACCTGCGCGCGGCCGCACGTGCCGCATTCTGCGGTGAGTCCGTAATGACGCGTCAGCGACGCGGGACACGGCGCGTGTTGCCCGGTGGAATAGTGCTGAATCCGCAGTCTAACCCGAATATGAACGTCGGCCTGCCGCAGTGCTCGAGCGGCTCATCGGCTCAGTCTGCAGAACGCGAGGCTTCGTGCCGCGGGCCCGATGGCGGCCGAGTGCTTTACTTTATTTTAAATGAGATTTCTCTGGTTAATACTATCGAGTATAGTTTTTATATACATGTTTCTTTTCAGTATGACTAGTCATTTGACTAACTAGCTAAAATGACACGTTTAATGAATACTTTTATAACTGAAGCTTACACACACTGCACGGTGTGAACTTGCTATGCTAATGCAAGCTAATCCAAGAACTGCACGTTTCCATTCAGACTTGAAGGTTGGTGGGAGGAATCTCTCCCGCCTCGTTAGTTGGACACAATTGGCCGTAGAGCCGGTTTGTTTCTCTGCAGCACGCGTGTTTCATGCTGTTCATCCATGAAAGCGGCCTGAGACCAATGTGAAGGGATGAGCTGTGTAATCGTACTACCAACTTCAATGTAGTTCCTCTTTGATTGGTGCACTGTCAGTTTTCCCCGTCGGTTATGTTTAATGACATGTGTCAACTTTTTGTCCTAAGTCTGAAGATTATGGTCATCAAATGTGAAGTCTGATTCAATCTGTCTTCTGTTGACGCAAAGCACCTGTAAAAGTTGCTAGTGAAGCATTAAAGATTAATGACATTTTTTTTTTTAGCATATCAAATTAAAATTCCTTTCAGTGTCTCTGGAGTCCTGACTGCCGGTGGCTCCTCCTGGACATATTGGTCTAAAATGACTCCATCTAGAAGCGCTGCTTCATTCACACTGATTGGAGGAGCTGGCAGTGAAGGGATAACTGGGTGGGCGGGGCTTGGCGTCAAAGTCACGGCTTCAGATGAGGTGATCGAACTGAGCTGGCGGCGCCCTGCTAGTCTATGCGCTCGCTCGCTGTGCAATGGGGTCGGTGCCCTCAGCAGCCGGCCCCACACCTCGCTGCACCAAAGGCACCGCGGAGGCGTGAGTGGCGCTGAGGGTTCGTTCCTCCTGCTCGTCGCGGTTCGTTCCCTCCCTTTGAACTTTTACCTTTTCTGCTTTGTTTCAGTATCATGGCTGAGATGAAGGAACGCACGTTCATTGCCATCAAGCCCGATGGCGTGCAGAGGGGCATCATTGGAGAGGTCATCAAGAGGTTTGAGACTAAAGGCTTCAAACTCGTGGGCATGAGGATGGTCCATGTAAGTATGCGCCGTGTTTTCTTTGCGCTCGCCTCGGTTGCCGTCCTGAGCGCAGCTGCTAACGTTCACAGGTCCAGTGGGGCAGTTAAGAACATCCGGTGAGCGGATAAGCCTGCTGGTCTATTCCTGACTGGCGTAGATAAGCACTGAGCTAAAGACTCCTGATCCGCTAACATCTGATCTGAGGCTGAGTGGGATGCTACTTTCACCCCATACTGGGGTCAAGCTGCTCAGTTTTTATTCCTGATGTGGTGCAGGAATGGAGCTCAATCAATGCAAGCTGTTTAATTGTCCTCTTGCTGACGTTTCGAAGGCGTAGCAGCCATCAGAACATCGTTGTATCTTCGGTCAGGGTCCCCTGAGGATAGAAGGACATTGTATTTTTTTGTGTTCTGTGGTCATTCTCGTGCTGCACGTCTGTCTCTTCGTACCCTGAGCCGCTCTGCGGGGTTCAAGTCCCTGTGCGTTGGAGTTGGTAATATTGGACCACAAATTATTTCACCTGCACATTGGTAGACGTGTCCTGATGTCCCAGCATGTCTGTCCCAGTGTCACGCCTTGGTTATCGCCTCGGCGTGTTTCTGGTTATTGGCCTTGAGTAACCGGAGCCGTGACGCTGAACAGACTTGACCACCATGTGACTTGAGGTTTGTTTTGCCAGCTGTGAACAAATGGGATGCAGTACTTGTAGTAGTACTTGTTGGTTTCTGCTGTACAGTTGAAGTCAGCAAGCTGTTATGAGGTGCACTGCTTCCTTGTGTAAGACATGGATGGATCAGCGTAGCTGCAGCACACTGATTGGATAAAGAGGCTTTTCCCCCAAACTCCGATCTGACCCCTACTGAAGGTCACAGTGTCCACCTCAGTAGGGACGAGACAGTGGGCCCCTTTGACCGAATACAGGCACCTCTAAATGCAAACCACTTATCAGGTTCAAGCCTCCAGGTTCTTCTAGTTCTTGCTGCTCTGCTGTCAGTCGGGGCCTGAGATTCTCCAGCAGGACGGCTTGTTCACGAGTCTCCCCAACGCCGCATCACCTCTGGCACGTTCTATTCTAGACTGCAGTAGTGAAAGTTGCAGCACATGAGAACACTCGACCAAGCCTGCAGGCACGGTGCAACATTTGACCCTCTTTATTCCCCTCAGAAGCCTTTTTGCTGAAGGCAGAGGACCAATAACCCGGATTCCCATAGATTGGTTTTACATGTCTGATGGCTAATCAGCTTAATTTGTCTCTGGCTGCAGGCCTCTGAGGACCTGCTGATGCAGCACTACATCGACCTGAAGGACCGGCCCTTCTTCCCCACCCTCATGAAGTACATGACCTCCGGTCCAGTGGTTGCCATGGTAAGAACACACAGCCCATGAGTGGTTGTCCGCAGGGACAACCGTGGCTGCTGCTTAGCGCCCGGCTTCATGCCCCCCTGCTGTGTTCCAGGTATGGGAGGGCAAAGGTGCGGTGAAGACCGGCAGAGTGATGCTGGGTGAGACCAACCCCGCCGACTCCAAGCCCGGAACCATCAGGGGAGACTTCTGCATCGACGTCAGCAAGTGAGTGCTTCAGCGGAGCGTCTGTTCCTCTGAACCACGCTGGCACTCGCTGACTTTGTCTTGATCGTCCCCAGGAACATCATCCACGGCAGTGACTCTGTGGAGAGCGCCAACAAGGAGATCTCCCTGTGGTTCAAAGACGACGAGCTGGTCTCCTACACCAGCTGTGCCTTCAGCTGGCTGTACTGAACCCTCCGAGTGCTGCAGGCGTCCTCGCACTGGTCCCAGACCAGCCAACTCTTGCCTCACAGTTACTGCTCGTGACCGTCGTCATACTGTACTTGGATCGGGTGTCTGAAGTCATTCCTCAGCTCTATTCCTTTTTTTTAGAAACATTCCTTAAAATGTACAGATTATGGCTGTCATTTTTGTCAAACGGTGATCTTTCCAATAAAATCCACACGATACAAACGTCTCTTCATTGGTCATCACTAATGATGCAGTAGACCTGCTGTCTAAAGGAAAGCGTTAATCGGATCGCTGTATGCGAGGCCTGACCTCTAGCTGGCGTGGTACATTTACCGGCAGAGACAACGTCTTATTCCAAGATGGGACCATGTTTTTACTTACTACCTCAGGAAAATGTGTACATAAGTGCTTCTACAATGTAAGCACTTAGGAAAACATTTTGCCAAACATTTCCTAACGTTGCTACGCCAACGTTCTATTGGTGTTACCTGCAAGTAGCATCACTTTAAATTCTACACTTTTCTATTCAAGATATTCTGTAACTGAATGACAGGAGTTAAGGTAACAAACTACAAAAGGTGTATTTTCAACATGGCACGACTTTCACTTTGCAATTTATTAAGATTCTACATGCGATATTTAGTTCATCTATTTGTTGTGAATATACAGCACTAAACTTTCAACATGCAATACATAATTTATGGCTTACTCTGCCAGGGTTTTTTTTAAACTGTTCGAGGGAGGATTGTCACTGCAGAGCAGGAAACTATAGATATCAATTATACGACTCTGGGACGAGTTCAGCGTGAGGACAAAAGTCTTCATGTCAGATTCCGAGAGCTGGAAGTGTTTGTAGTCATAAGCCTTTTTATTCAGTGTAAAAGTCAGATCTTACAAAAATCACCAGATAAACTTTCACAGCCATGCGGAAACAGTTTGCAATGCTTGTAAACAAAGAAGCCATCCATCACAACCAATATTATGATCCAAACATTTGGCTTTATTTACAAAGTCTATCAAAGCCCGGTCACAGCACAAATTTACCATATGAAAGGAAAATGGTATACACTATCAAAAAGATGTACAAACTTTAAATTGTAATCTAATAATGTACCTCAGCGGTTGGTGTTAATATCAATAGATTTATAATTAACATAAATTTTTTTTTTTTTAATTTGTATCCAAAAATAGATTTTTCACAATAACCCTCTCAACTCACAATTATTTTCAGACAATAGTAATCCCAATACATTAAGTCATTTTTATCAAATATATATATATATATATAGCACCACAATATAATGGTTCAATATAATGGATGGGGGGGGGGGATCACATACAAAAGACCCGTGTTAGTATCCAAGAAAAACAAAACAAAGACATCCAGCTCCGCCCACATTTGGCAGAACCAGTTGAGCAATAACCATCAACCACACGACGTCCTGCTATGGAAGCCCAGTGCTGCCAGAAAGAGAGATTTGGATTTGGACACAATTATAGATTATTCATATTTCATTATTGATTGATTATTATTAAATACATCAAAATTGATTCACTGAGCCAAAATTATGAGAAGTAAAAAATTAAAAAGTCACACTTTTTATTTCAACGGACGCATTTTTTATAATTTTTCCTGAGTCAGACAAAAATATTGAATCAATATACCTTTACTTTTAATCTGGATTGGATCCCGGCCCACTTTTACTTTTCTTTTCTTGGCAGATATGGGCAACCATACATTTACTGATCACAGCGGGAGAAAAGGGAAAGAAACACAGACGCTTACAACGAAAGAACGAAGAAACGAGCTCAGCACGACATCAGCACAACGCGCTCTGTTCTACATGCAGAGAGGAGCGCCGCCGCCTCCGCCTCCACCCACACACGACACCGCTACACACAGAGGGAGCGCCACCGGCCTCCTCCTCCCTTCAGCCCGGGGCCTCCAGGTAAAACAAGAAAGCATCTACAAGGAGCGAGAAGCAGAAGACCCAAAACAGTGTTGATTGTGCGTTTAAGTATTTAGGATTAATCTAGAGGAAGGTAGCAGCAACTAGTCAATACAACAGTCTTTTATTTCCTTTTTATGTACTAAGATGTTGGGTCACAACGTACTTTAATGCTTCAGAGGTGACAGATCTTAACGGTGAAACCAGATCTGCTCCAAATGATTGACTTAGTCTTTTATTGCTGGTTTGGTCTGAGAAGCTTTGTGCCCAAAAGGAAACTGGAAGAGAAACACATCTCACGTCCCGGCGACGAATCAAAAGTCAAATTTAACATGAAGACGGATTGAAAAGCTCGTGGGACGAGCCCTCGTTGTTGGAACAGCGTGGAAGCAAATGAGGATCACTGAATCATTACAACGTCCAAAGACGCACAACGCCTGGAATCTAAACGCCACCGAACGCCTCAGCATGACAATTCTCTGATTCTCGGATTCCGAATTTAGCCGGGGCCTCATTTCAAGCCGCTGCCGCGGAATCAGTGGCGTTTACATTGGAGGCGCTCTGCGACAGAGCGGTTGCGTGTCCAACGCGGCGAGCCAGCCGATTCCGACCACAAACACCAAACAAAAGGGAAAAGACAAACGGAACACAAACTTCCTGAGAATCTAATCATGAACCTTACTGGTAGAAAGAGAAAGGATGGGTACGGTCTGCGTTTGCATGCGGCCTTCAGCCGTACAGCGTCACAAAAGTCACAGTTATACAATATAATCTTGTTAAATCATCTGTTAATTATATTCATGTAGTAATCATGACGTTTGCGGGCGCTCTAAGATTTATGGAACATAGCAGAACAATATGGGATCTGTTCTTATTGCATATCATTCAAATTAGAAGACTGCTGTGATACCATTCTGCAATGTTTGGTGTGTAGTCTTCAAGCAGATCACTTCTCTGGGTAAATCGCTCTCATTTGCATACGCTAACACGCGGCCAGAGTCTATTTCACGCTGTAGTTTGAGCATCAGGAGGTAGTAAACAGTTCGAGCTCTCCACGGACGAGCAATGGGTTTTGGACATATCAGGGTTTGAAAGTTGATACCATCGTAGTCTGGAGAATACATATTTATATATAGAATCTGTGTTTGTGTGGCGGTGAGATCCTGTCGTGTTACGCGAGTGCTGCCCTCAGAGAAAAGCAGTGCATTGTTCGTGTTTCAGTATTAATAGCAACCCTCTCATTGTGTGGCTCAGGTGAATCATAAGCTAGCTTGCATACATATGGCTCTGACATGAGGACGACCCGAGCGATCAAAACAACAAAAACACCTAAAGCTTTGCATATTACCCCATTCAAATATTCCTTTCTTGTCTTATTTCCAGGAGTCTGGACTGCTTCTCTGCACAACAACCAACACGGGGAAGAAATGAGTCATTTTGATCTCACTCAACTGTAAATATCATTAGAGGGCAAATACAATAATTATCATCACATCTAGAGCTCCTGTAGAGAAAGGCACTATGGGGGACGTTAATTCAATTTAGACGGAGGGAATTCGTAATTGACATAATTAGACAGAAGTAGCAATATGAATTTAATGTTACTTTTTCCACTGTAGTTTTTGAAAGTGGAGTTATTGAGAATAACGGTCCAGACTCCGTGTGTGTGTGTGTGTGTGGGGGGGGGGGGGGGAATCCAACAGACCCCGAGCGATGTGCCCCCCCCAGCCCGTCACCAAGCGACCTTTGACCCCATGCCAGTGACACGCGCACAGTCTCTCCCCATGCTGGGGTGCGCAACATGTCAGCGTGAGCCCCGTCGTACCAGTAAGGTTTCTCTTGTACTACAGACCCTGCAGCCACACGTTACGCTCCCGCTCCTCATCAGCTGCTCCTGAAGCGACAGCTTTCCATCTCCACAGCGTCGTCATTTCAGTTCCACATTACAGAATATGAGCTCAACCGCCCTCGGGGCTCTTTAGCACGACTGAAGCTGGAGGTGGGAGTAGTGGTACTGCGACAGGTCCCTACGAAAACCCCACGTGATGCCTTCAAAGACCCCCAAGACTGTGCACTGTGCACGCCATCCACAGGAATCTACTGCTGGTGTCCATTCAAATACACTCCAACAGGGCATTTGTGTTGCCATGGAAACGCGTGAAACGCTGTCTGAGAAACTCTCACAATAAGAGCAATACAGCTAAACTTTAATGGGATTTCTTTTGTTCTGTAACGAAGATCGGAAATGATTGTAGTTGTGGAAATCGTCGCGTAAAGATCGAAGGAAACGAAATCCCATTTCCAAAAATAAGACCAGTATCAGTAATGCTGAGCAGTGCTGCACTGAGATCGCTCTTCCCATCACAATCCTTTATCTCTATACTCTGATTTCTATTTCAATAGCTCTCCACATACTGTATGAATATAATCACCGTATGAAAACAATGCACATCAAGTTTCCCACACAGCCACTAGACAAACAGAAAATGCAAAATAAGTACGTTAAGACAAACACAACTCAAATCAATACAAAAGAGAAAAACAAAATTTCAAGTACTATTAACAAAGTAGAAGTCCAGCTAGCAATATTGTTCAGAAGAAAATAACGTCTCTCCTCGGCTGTGTTCCTCTCTGCTCAGTGGCTGTACTGAGAACAACAACACAACAAAAAACAACAAGGAAGCAAAAGACCTGGCTCAATAAACGGTTCCTCACAGTTTCTACAGGTCTCTGTGCGCCGCCTACGTTGCGGTGGTGGGGGGGTGGGGGGGCTGGTGGCGACCGGCAGGGCTCCCATGCGTCCGGAGAGAGAGGACGTCGTTCTCCCTCCATCCTAATAGCTCGCGTGTGATTGGCTGCCTGGGACGGGGGAGAACCACGTTGCATCATCCCAGGAGTGTGATGAGAGCGAATGCCCAAACACGTGTGACCCGGGTTACGTGCACAGCTACAAGGTTTACAGAGAGGGGTGAGCCCTTCGAGACATTTGTTTTTTTTGCAGAGGTTTGACCCCCCCCCCCCTATTCTCGTGGAATATCGTCATCCTCAGAACTGTGCTCCAAAGAAGGTCTGACTGTGATTCTGAGCTAGTTTGACTCCGTCTTCCTGGTCCTTGCAGGGGTAGGATTTATTCTCCCTCGGGGGAGGGGAAGGGGGGGGGCGATAGGGTACGGTCTTTTTGTCCCGCTCCGTCCCGACATCAGGGCTCCTGTTTGATGTAGTAGCTGCCCGAGCCGTTGCTCTCCTGGTCCGAGGTGCCCTGCGAGAAGGTGAACTCGTCCACTTCGGCCGATTCCTCCTTCATCCGCAGAAGGGAGTCTGGGAGGGGGGGGGGGGGGGGGGGGGGGAGAAGATGAGCCGGCTGTGTTCAAGCACTTTGAAATAACTTTGAGTGTTTCTAGCGGAGTGTTAACCGGTTTACACTAGATGGAGCTGGACAAACTGCTTCACAGTGAAGATGGAAATGAGCAAACGTGGATTACAGGGTACCAACACTGCACGCGACGCCCTCCGGCTCCTCGCTCGCGTCAACCTCACCTGATTTGTGGGTTTGGTGGAGGTGGGTGCGGGGCCGGGGCCGGGAGGGCCCCTGGGCGGGGTAAGGGGGTGGACTCTGCTCCTCGTCCCCGGAGAAGCTGCTCCTCCTCCTGCCTGCCTGACTGAAGGGCCGCCGACCAACCGGAAGCTTCCTCTCTAAAAACATCAAGCCACACTCGGGTAAGCTAGCGGGGGTCTTATGACACACACGGGGGCTCAAATCTACCAGAGTGCAACACAAACCGGAAAGCAACACTTTAGTTCACAGCAGTTTTCTGAACACTCTCACACAGCTACACACATACACAATGAGTGGAAGAGATAAAACAAATAAGTGAAACACGGCCGTCCCAAAATCAGGTTTGCACACCCCTAAAGAAATCTCAATTTCTATTCAATGATTTGCAACCATAGACATCCACATAAAACTGCTTGTGTTAAGCTAAATACATTGTATCAGTTTAAATTAGCTTCTGTGATCCGAATATATATATATAAAAATGAATGAACAGACACAGGTGAGTTTCGGCCTGAAGAAGGTTTACTCTTTGTTCTCCCTGTTAAAAAGTGGTGTTGGGGGGGATGTCACTGATCCACATCTGTGATGTGGGCCATAGACCTGTGATTGTATTAAGGAGGTAGAGGGAAGAATGAAGGTGGAAATAAACCCACAGCACCAGGCGCACTCACTTTTCTTTTGGCCTTTGTACTGCTGGGCCTTTTTCTTCTGCTTGGGTACAGATTGAGGCATTTCTCTGTTACCTGAAAAAAAAAAATAACACACCACCAGACAGTAAACTACGGGCCATTTGAGACACAGACCAGGAATGCAAATGTGTAGCAATGTAGATTATAGGAACTCCAGCACAACCCACGGTGCCGTATGCAGGATCAGTACCAGTGCTGATACCAAGGACTGCAGCTATCTGACACAACAATGAACAGTGAAGTCCACAATGAACAGACTTTCCACACACACCTCCAGCTGAAGTGGGAGACGAGGCATTCATGCAGAAAACCCCCAAAACATACGTACAAATAAAACGTATATGAAAGGAAAAGACGACAAAATGATAACATGTAGCATTAGAGTTCAACCAAAGCAGACTACTCAATAAGCGGGTTTTCATCTTTCCACTCACGTTATATTAAAAGGGTCATTTCACAAACTCAAAACTGCCTCAGAAATAGAAAGTGGAACATTGCCGGTCTTCATCATGTAAAATGTAACATTTTTAACTGCAAACAACAGCAGTTCTTATTTACGCCACAGATCTATTCCAGCATGTCAGAAAAAAGCAACCCAGCTGTAAAGCTGAATGGAATCCTTTGGAGAATTTCTAGTCAAAGACAGAAAGAAAAAACACCTCCAGTGATACATACAGGTTGACCAGTTACACAATGACAAAACCCAGGCTAGCAGACTAACTTTAGCCCCGGGCTAGCAGACTAACTTTAGCCCCGGGCTAGCAGACTAACTTTAGCCCCGGGCTAGCAGACTAACTTTAGCCCCGGGCTAGCAGACTAACTTTAGCCCCGGGCTAGCAGACCAACTTTAGCCCCGGGCTAGCAGACCAACTTTAGCCCCAGGCTAGCAGACCAACTTTAGCCCCAGGCTAGCAGACCAACTTTAGCCCCAGGCTAGCAGACCAACTTTAGCCCCAGGCTAGCAGACCAACTTTAGCCCCAGGCTAGCAGACCAGTGCTAGCACAGGCTAGCAGACTAACTTTAGCCCCAGGCTAGCAGACCAGTGCTAGCACAGGCTAGCAGACTAACTTTAGCCCCAGGCTAGCAGACCAGTGCTAGCACGGGCTAGCAGACTATCTTTAGCCCCAGGCTAGCAGACCAGCATTAGCACAGGCTAGCAAGACTAACTTTAGCCGCAGGCTGGCAGACCAGTGTTAGCAACGGCTAGCAAACTAACTTTAGCCCCAGGCTAGCAGACCAGTGTTAGAACGGGCTAGCAAGACTAACTTTAGCCCCAGGCTAGCAGACCAGTGTTAGCACGGGCTAGCAAACTAACTTTAGCCCCAGGCTGGCAGACCAGTGTTAGCACGGGCTAGCAAGACTAACTTTAGCCCCAGGCGAGCAGACCAGTGTTGGCATGGGCTAGCAAGACTAACGTTAGCATGGGATAGCAGACTAGCATTAGCACGGGCTAGCAGACTAACTTTAGCCCCAGGCTAGCAGACCAGCGTTAGCATGGGCTAGCAGACTAATGATGCTTATATTTCTTGTACATATCAAATAAAAAAAAATATTTTTTTGTGTAGCTATAAGAAACAAGAGCAAATGACATGCATTTTATAGCCTTTTGTTAACTGTTCTGGTGCCGTTAATGGGACAGATCTCAGTCCCGACCGCCATGTTGAAACAGCAGTGACAGCAGAAAAAACAACTAGAACACTTCAGATCTGTTGAAAACCCGCACAACAGTCACGTCATCACTAAGTTAAACTATTAGGTATTGTGTGGTCAGAGGCCTGTGTGCGGTCCCAATGTGTCCCCTTCTTACTCTGTGAGGCCGGGGGTTGTAGCTGGTAGCCCGTGAGCTGGCACCAGCCCACAGGGTAGAGGTCAGGGGACTCGCAGTCCACCCATTGGTCATATTCGTCCTCCCAGCCGTCAAAGTGGATCCTCAGTAGCCGGTGCACAATCCTCGTCACCGTGGCAACACACACCAGCCGCGGCTCCATCAGATCAACGGCCTCCAGCTTCATGCCTTGACGGAAACCGTGATTGGGAACCTCCTTGGAGATGTACAAAGAGATTGAAGCACAAACGTCAGTGAGCTGGAAGCTGCTGGTGAGTAGATGTTCCTGCAAATAGTGGAGAAGCACCGGTAAACCCCAAGAGCCACAAATAATAGGAGGAGGTTTTCAGCTTTCAGGAAGAGAAAAGCTAGCATACGTCCCCCTTAAAAGATTACCAGAGTAGTATATTATTCATTTTCACTGAAATCAACTATTCATATTTTTAAATCGGTTTTCTTAAATAGATTAAATTTACTTAAAAATCAGATCACAGAGACTCAAAACTGGATCCACAGTAGATGCTCAACAAGGTATGCACTTAATCAATCCAACAGAGGATTACAAACCCTGAGACGTGGCTGCATGCGGTTTGTCCAAAAAGCCAAGAGCGATAAAACACCCACGAATAAAAACATCGACCAGCAATAAATTCATCAAATGGCCAATAGACAGATACCTCTATGAATATGATACCTCAGGAGATGAACCTCAAACTGCTAGTAGGTCATTGAGTTGCTTTCTGTGACACATCAGTGCTCCGTTTACCTGCTGCTTTGTTTTTCTAGTAACCAGAACAATGACACCAGGAGGACAAACTGAATGACAAGATCTCAACACAAACACAGTGGAGAAACCAGCCTACCTTGTTAAAGAGCTTGACAGGAGCAGCTATTGAACCTGTTTCTCTGAGGTAGTCAAACCATTTAAATGGCAGTTTAGTGTACCCTGGGGAACAGAGTCAGTGATGAGACCAGAACATTATGAAATCAAATGCAAGAAGATCTTATCAAGCTCAACTTCACCTAACGAGACATGGAATTCAAATGTGGTACAGTATGGAAGATTTGAAGTACCTAAATAAAAATGTACTTCATTTTCACTATCAGGAGGCGCAGAAGAACATTGGAGAATAAGAGTTTTAAATATTAATGATGAAAAAACTCTTCTCTTCTTTCTTTCTTTTCTTATTTAAGCATTTGAAATCTTCCACACCCATGTCGTCTGCTCAATGGGATCAAATGCATATTTACATTCATGGTGCGAGGCTCAGAGAAACTCACGGTACCTCGAGGGGGCGTGAGTTCTATCTCGTTGATTTCACAGAAGCCGACAGGGTAGATGGAGGGCGACGTGCCGTGGTAGCAGAACCAGTCTGATCCATCCACTGCCTCCGAACCATCGATCCCAATCATGAGGTACCCGTCTGCCAACACCTACCGACAACCACAGCGGCTGAAGTCAGCCCGGTCCAAGCCCCCCCCCCCACACACCTGCAGTATTTCATAACAACTTTAAACGCTTACCTTTCTTACAGTGGCTACACATATAGCTGAGAGGTTGAGAGGGTCGATGGCTTCTAGCTTCATCCCATCTTTGAACCAATCCCCATTCTGGTCCACATCCTTCACCTGATGCACGTTCAGTAGAAGAAAGACAGATTCTGGTTCGTCGTTGATAATACGGATGAATCAGGCATTTGAGTCTACGGTCGCATCGATGCATCAAGCTCTTCAGCGAAGGATGAGGAGAGGCCGAACTAGTCCAGGCCAACATGCCGTCATCAGAAATGAAAATGATAAAAACCTCACCAACTATCTTTCAGAGAACAGGTAGTTTTTATATAAAATCAGAACCTTCAAAGTTTCTTTTCAATGTTAAGGTTGAGATTTGGGAAATGATCTACATTTTGTAAACATACAAAACATTTATGTTTAAGACACCATGGAAGGAAACCCTCATTTTACCTCACAAGTCCATGTAAACTATTCATTCAAAATTAAAACCACTAAACCGGCATTGGTTAGTCTCATGAAACAACGCGGGTTCTACATGAATCATTCTTGAAAAGCTTTTGGGATCGCAGCACATTTTAAAAATGGTTTTGCGTTACCTTCTGGAAGAACGGTGCGGGAGCATCAGCTTGACCTTCAATTTTCTTTGTAATATCTGCAAATAATTTGACAGATCAAAATGCTTTCATTAATGCATAATCACCTGAAACTAAGAGTCATTTTACGTTAACTGAAGCTGAGGATGAGCAAGGAAACTCTAAATGAATGCACACCGGTGTATTGGGAAGTTGCTAAAAACAAACTGGACCTTTACAGCTTTGCTGGATTCTCCCAAACCCACCAGATCTTTTGAAGCGGTGGCCGATGCTGCGCGACCAGCCGATATTATGGATGAGGGGGCTGTACATGTGGCACCAGAAATCGTCCGACCCGTCCTGGCTCTCCTCGTACACCAGCCTGAGGCGACCTCCGATGACCTGCTCTACCAGCGCCACCCGTGTCCGGCACAGGTAGTTCTTGTCCACCACCTCTACCCGCATCAGCTTCTTGAAGGGGAACTGCATGTTCTCGTGTACCTATGAGGGGAAAAGACACGCAGAGACCAGAGGACTAAAGGACGGCACCGATTCATTGCTTCCAAGTTGTTTAGGAATTTCAGGGCCGGCACAAATCAACAGTGAGCCAGACCGAGTCACTTTTGTCAAACCCTTTCTTTAGATGACAAATATATTCTTCATCCGCTGGCTGTGATTTAGATAAATATCAAAATGAGGCTTTTCTCACCTTGGCATTAAAGTCAGGTGGCAGGGTTTTAGCTCCAGTGAGACGCTTCACAAGAAAGGCTTTCCAGTTAGAGTACTTATGCTGTATGCCTGGGGGAGAATCACAAACACACACGGTCACTACGGCCACCAAACCCCCCCCCCCTCCTCGTAGGGCCGTGCACACGTTTGCCACGGGACTCACTTTTTGGAGGTACGAGGGGTTTGCCGCTGGAGGCGCACCACCCCACCGGGTGCACTTCGGGGACGCAGAGATCGCACCAGAAGTCCTTGGTGGTGTCGTTGTCAAAGCCCTCGTAGCGCAGGAGAGCCTTGAACCCTGCACACGCACACAGAACGCACAGGATTGGACGGCTCGCTCCAACGCCAGAAAGAGCTCCACCCAGGGTTTCTCCACCACACGGCGTTCATCATTAGTCTGTTCTATGGTCATGCGGTGCGGGTGAAACCCAGCTTCTAAGTTAATGTGGGCGAGAAGTCTGGAGAATGTTTAGAATTAAACGCTTCACACAATCTGCATATAAAAAGCCACAAAATCACATGCTCATCAAATATTATATGCCATAAGTACATTCAAAATATTATTCTTTTGTGTAGCTTCTCCGCCCATGAGGCGATCCCTCGCCAGCACCACTACACCGTACGAGATGCCTGAAGGAACCCAGCGGTGAAAATGAGACTCCAGTCGTCTGAGACAAAGGTACTGAATCTTCACCAGTTGGTCCTTTTATTAAAAAATGTTTTCCCTGTAGAGCTGCAATGGACTTCATTTTATCACTTGCTGAGTCTTTGGCAACGTTCGACTACGTCAGATCACAGCATGGGATGTAAGGAATGATAAAGTAACCAATAATGAAATTAAATTCTGGCCCAGTTCTCTGAAGGATCCCACTGACTGTGTACTGTTACAATGTGGGTGGTGTGTAAAACGAAAGACACAGTTCCTTTACGCCACACAGCACCGGGGGGGGAGAAGAACAACATGTGACGAGGCCAAAGCCGCTTGAAGTGGAATCATTCTTCGACCAAATGTCCTTTAGCTACGGGAGGAAGTGTGGTCTTACCAGCTAGCTTGATGATCTCTGCTATCCAGTACACCTTAGTGGAGAGGTTGGTATCAGAGTTGGTCACTTCAATCCTCACTCCTTCTTCTATGTCTCCCCAGCAGGTCCCCATAGGGGCCTGGAACCCACGGGAAACAGGGAGTTTTTAAGTTGGGGAAGCAAGCCATTAGGTTTTTGCTACCTGCCAAAGTCCTGTTTCCACTTACGTGCTTGAAACAGCTGACTGGAGCTCCGGTCGTGTTATTGCTACAGATATACCGACCCCAGTCGAAGCTCTCTGCAGGGACCACTGACGGACAACAAGGCACAGTGTAAAGCTGGAGTATATCTCAACAGAGCAACACTGTTTGCTGCTTTTTGGTAACATACCAGCTTTGGACTTGGGCTGGTTCTGCTGACTTGCTTGGTACTGAGCATAAGCAGCCAACTTAGCCATGAGAGGCTGTTTCTGTAAGACTTTGGCCTTTTTCGTTGGTGGTTTGCCCTTGCAAAAATACAAAACAGATATCAATATCAGTGCAATCTTTAGTTTAATCTGATGTTTTTGAGGGAGAACTGACCAGGCCCTTACCTGGAGTCTTGCCAAGATGCTGGCTTTTTTGGAATTTGAGGAATAACTCCGGGAACACGACACACTGCAAAAGCGCTTCGTTTTTGAGTAAAAGGCATCTCGCACTCCGACCATCCCGCACATCTCACAAGTGGCTGTGAAACCGAAAAAACAGACACATGTATATCTGTGACAACGTGTAAGAATACAATTATATTCCCCAACATGTTCCGTGTTACTGACCCATTCCAGCCTTGCCGTCAGGGTACGTGTAGACCTGCCCATTGTTCTTGATGATGGGCAGGCTTGCAGGGATGGACGGCACCACCTCGTCCTCGCTGTCTTCGGAGCTGGAGCTGCTGGTGGACTCCTCGCTGCAGCTGTCGTAGCCATCAAACATCCCGAAGGAGTCTCTCCGCTTACGCTCTGAACGTGGGGTGCGTTCCGCCTTTAAACCCAAGAAGTTTTCAAAAAAGATATCTGAATAGAATATTACAAGACAGCAACTGTAACAATTCACCTTGATTTTGATGTGGTTTATTGTTGGGTGAGAACATCCATCACCAGTGAAAGCAACATCTTTAAATGTCTTGTTAGGCCCAACAACCACCTCAAGCCCAAATAGTGTTAATCATACAGAGCTGAATGTAAGGAAGCCAACACATATCAGCAGGACCAGTGTTTACTAGTGACGGTTGCTGGTTTTAGAGTATTTTACAGTGTGCTTAAATATGCCATCTGCGAGGAAACGTGACCTGGAAAGACGGCTGTGGAAGCCAGTGAGAAATACATGTTTACATGTGATAAGTTAATTGTAATCACACGGAGAAATCTGAAAATGCAACACGTTGGGCTCGTAGAACGATGCGGAACAGTCTGTGACATGTTTATTTTGACAGCCAGTCTACTTCCTCCTCCGGGCAGCGCATCCGAACTGGCGGCGATAACAAAGATCATTTTGGAAAGAATTCTGAAGGATAAAAAAAACAACACACCAGCCAGGAAAGACACGCTACGCTGAATTTAAGCTGCACGAAATAGAAAAGCCAGCTGCTACATTCGCTAAAATTAGCGGCGGCCTTATTGCAAAGACCTCCTAATGCTAACTAGCGTTAGCGCCGTTCGCTAGCGGAAACCTGTTTATCCACTTCTATCCACAAAAGCAAACCACCGTTTTCAATTGCTTAGCAAATATACACGTACACATATGTTGTTAATACCAGTGTACGGTTACTTTATTGCTATATTAGACCTTCTTTGGAAAAGTTGCTAATACCAGAAGACCCAGCAGCTAGCCACCAAACAGATAACAACAAAGGAGTAGCGCTAGCCTGCTAGCAGCAAATCCTCTGAAATCGGAGGCTCGCGGCCGTAAAATGTTTTGAAAACACTTACCAAATCCCTTGTGTCTTCCATCAGCCCTTCATATAGATAACGTCCTCGGTAACTGCGCTGCCCAGTGCAAAGAAAACCCCAACGCTGGGGACAAATGTTGCCTTTGAAATAGCAAAGTCTAAATGAATACTACCAAGCAGGATATCAACAAATTACTTTGATGCATCTGCGCATGCGCGAACGTAACCCACTTACACGCAATTGGTCAATCGGGAACGGAGGTCATCGACCCACTGAGAAACACAACAGTGGAGATGAATGAAGGCTCCTCTTTAATGGCCGAGGGCAGAACGAGAGATCACACATGTATGAACAGAGGGGATGTTCATGGAGAAAGTAGTTTATAATAATGTCATTGTATCCGTTTTATACAAGTTTCTAAAGATTCATACTGTAACGTAAAACATGAGGGTTTATGCAAAAGGAGAATTAGCTATAATATATATAAATAATTTGTAGTAGGACCAGCATATCAAAGTAAGACACAGACAATTATTGTGACATAAAATAAAACCTTTATCATATATAGTGCAGTCTACACACCTCTGAAGGTAAAGTTCTGTTTCTCTCATTAGATAATGATACAATATTTATATCTTTTGAACAAAATCAGTGGAGCAAATGTAATAATACTGTATGGTTTGATTATAACATAAGAATTTGTCAAGCCAATATTTAGGCCATGAAAATATAGGTATACATACAAGTTAAGAAAAAAATAGGCATATTTAGATGAAAAACTGGCCACTCATCACAGTGCTTTTTCCAAATACTGGCTTTCTGTTTTTGTTCCTCTCATCATTCCTTGAACCATACCATAATAACTATTTACGCAAAGCAGCGGGAACATGAAGCTAGAACATAACAGTTTTAACAGCATCAAAGTGAACATGGCTGAATAAACGGTCGATAAGGCTTCACAATGAGGATTTATACGGTCGAGTTGGGGTCACGAGGAGGAGACGCCGGTCAGTGCTGGAAGACACGAGGAGGAGAGGTCATTACTTTCATGGACATTGTGGTCCATGAATCCATGTTTTTAGAGAAGTCAAGGAGCAGGAAACGCTACCGTTGGCATCTCTTCATGTCTTTGGTCTCAGAGCAGCTCGTCTCCTAGGACGTCATCGACGCTTCCTGAGATTGAAGCAGCTTCTGATGGACAAAGAGAAAACAACTAATGGCCACTCAACAATGTGCAATGATGCAATTTAAAATCGGCTTGCTAGAAATATTGGATTTGGAGCGATATACTTTTGATAAACTGTGAACTGTGCATTTAGACGGACAATATATTTGAGCGGGAAGGATGAACTGAAAACACGTGTGGGAAATATCTGTGCCTCCTTCTGCATTTAGTCCCAGCAGAATTGACCCGAAGCCCGTAAATTAAGGAGTTCTAATTGAGCAGCTACTCGGATCATTTGTTGTTTCACATCCACATTACATCTCTGCTGCCGTCTCCTTCTTTATCCTTCCTCATCTCCTCGTTTACCAATCACTTGATTTGGGATCCAACCTTATTTTGTTATGAAACGCTAAACGGTAGTTGTATTCTTACTTGTGAAATCACAAACTCATGTTTCGGATTTTAAATCAGTCATTTTCTTCATTGACTGCTATACAATCAGACGTGTGTCCTCCCCCCGTTGGTAATGCACGTGATAAGACACTTTATTACGGCAGAACAAGAGGCTGCTGCCTGGTCCTTATGTGTGCGTCAGTTGACCTGTGACTGGGTAGAAGATAAGAGCCATATCGCCCCAGATGCACAAAGAACCCACCAAATATGAAGTGCACGAGGGAAATGGAAGTTACTGAACTCACCTGATAAGCTGATGCAGGAGAGACTCAGCTCAGATGACGCCCCGATCACGTCGTCCTATAGTAGGACAGGACATGAATGTGACTGTTTGATAAAAGACCTGGAAGGCCCACTGGACAAAATAGTGCTGCTGCAACCCAATTCTGCTACGTTGTGTTCTGTAAGGGGTCATTTGTCAACTTCCGTTTAAGCTAATAAGATGTAAAATACAAATATTTACACACACACACACACGGGAGGCATCCATGAAGACGGAGGAACTACACCCCCTTTCTCAAGAAAATAAGGGAAGGAGCCGTCAGCTGGAGGAGAACCTCTAAACGGTTCCTAAAGTAGCGAGAGATAAAATGATGAAGACGTGGAGTAAAATGGATATGGAGGAAATATCTGACAAATTATCTAAAAAGAAGTTTAATTCCAAACTAATATAAAATGTAGTTTATAATCTTCCCTGGTGCAACTTTAAGGTATAAAGTTCATCTACATAATGAAATCAAGCTATGAAGAACTCGTGTGATTTGTGTGTCTGCATGTATTACTCCCTTCAGCCCCAACATTAAGATCTAATTAGTTGATATTGATCCAAAAGCCATAATTTAAATGTTATTAATCATTGAATATCTTGATATTAAATAATTCTAATGTATTAAATCTGCTGCCACAAAAACAGCGCTATAGATATTAAACAGAACTAGTGGCCATTAGAGCAGTTATTGGTTAACCCTTCGGTCACCAGTGTTAATGAGGCCAATGAGGGGTCAGCGACTCACCAGCATCTTCTGCAGACAGCCCAGATCTCCGCCCTCGCTCCCCCCCTCCTGGAAGGCCACCGCGTGGCCCCGCCGGACCAGCTCCTCGCCAATATCTACGCTCTGGCAGAAGCTGTTGTTTTTGTCACTGATGCATGACAGATAAATGACACACACACACACACACACACACACACAAAGAAAACCCTGCAGCTGACCTTTCCCTGGCTGTTGTCGCAGAGCTTGACGCTGGGCCAGGAGGAGATGTCCGAGTGGGAGTAGCTGCAGAGTTTGGCCTGCAGGGGTCTCCAGGAGGCGCAGTACGTCAGCCGCTCAAAGTCGTCCAGAGCCGCCTCAGTCCACAGCTCGTCTTACCAACCAGGGGGATTATTTAGAGGGAATAATAAAAAGGCCAATCAATAATTGTTTCATTTTAAACCCTTACTTACATTTTTTAGGACAAGGGCTTTTACCTTTTGCTCTCACTCCTGCCAAGTTGCACTCAATGGCTTGGAATGGTAAGCTGAGGAAGTCACTCCTGAAACACCAACACAGCAAAGCAATTAAAGCCTAATTTATTGAAAATATCGTTAAAATGATAATATTGCCTGTGGTACCACAAGAGGAACCACAAGAGGAACCACCGGAGGAACCACAAGAGGAACCACCGGAGGAACCACCGGAGGAACCACAAGAGGAACCACCGGAGGAACCACAAGAGGAACCACAAGAGGAACCACAAGAGGAACCACAGGAGGAACCACCGGAGGAACCACCGGAGGAACCACCGGAGGAACCACCGGAGGAACCACAAGAGGAACCACAAGAGGAACCACCGGAGGAACCACAAGAGGAACCACAAGAGGAACCACAGGAGGAACCACCGGAGGAACCACCGGAGGAACCACAGGAGGAACCACCGGAGGAACCACAGGAGGAACCACCGGAGGAACCACCGGAGGAACCACAGGAGGAACCAGTGGGGGAACCAAGAGTCCACAGATGTACCTCATACGGCACAGGTGGTCTCTGGGCAGCTCCCCGTTGTCCCCAAAGTCAACGTAGTAAAGGTCCACCAGTCCGGAGCCCAGTGCTCCCAGCACCCTGGCCCGATTCCACGTGCTGTGATCGTGGTACGGAGCGGCCACGATGTCCCCCACCACGATGGTCTCCACCCTCTGCAGGTTTACCACAGGAATTGGAATTTGTGTTGACTACTGTAAAAACAATAGCATATTTGCTTGAACAAGTTGAATATACTATATACTACTACTATACCACTAACCCGTAGCATTATATTTTATTCCTCGTCCACTGTCGTCCGTCGTCGTACTGTCTGCTGTTACGCACCAACCGCCAAGTCAAATTCCTTGTACGTGACATATTACGGCAATAAATGTTTCCTGATCCTGATATATTAATGGATTCCATATCTGCTCCAATAATTGTACTTCCTCGCGTTCCTCGCCTTCCTCCTCCATCGTATTCACAGGGCTTTACCTTTTACACATTTTGTCACGCCCGTATTCCAAAATGGATTAAATACCAACTTATACCAACAATACCCCATAACAATACAAAAATATAACATAAGTATTCACAGCCGTTGCACAATAAGCACCTTTGGCAGCAACTGCAGCCTCAAGTATTTCTGTGTATGATGCAATAAACAGCACTTTTTGGGGGGGGGGGGCAGTTTCTCCCACTCTTCTTTGTAGAAGGATTTGTAGAATCACGTTGGATGGGGAGCGTCCGTGCACAGACATGTTCAGAGGTTTCCTTCCTGTGAATACTTATGTGCAAACATTTCCCCAAAACCTTTTTCCACGTTGCCATTATGAGGTATTAGGTGGTGGTACGAGGTGTGTAATTACATACTTTTTCAATCAGCCTGACGTAACAAAATGTGAAAAGAAATTTGCACTTTCCGGATGCGCGGCGTGTCGAGTATAAGATAATAATAATAATAATTTGGGTTCTGATGAATGATATACAATAAAGGGTTGCCAACCCTTTGACACACAATGGCTATCATGTGCCGGGAGAGCCGCCCTGTTTCATGCAGGCTCAACGCCAACAGGATGGAAGTACACTAAACACGTGTGAGGTTTGGTATGCATTTGGTGGGGGGAGTCGTCCTCACTGCGGGGCTGCCGCTGCTGTAGAAGCGGGTCATCTCCTTGGTCAGTTTGTCCAGCTGGAGGGAACGGACCCCCAGGATCTGGATCCAAAAGTGGTTGGGGTTCTCCGATGCAGAAACATAGACCTCCAGATGTTCGTCAGGCTGGAAGCTCAGGTCCGGGCTGGGAACTGGACAACAGAGAAGGAAGGAGAACCAGCGTGTTTCAGTGAGGCTGCTGCATTGTGCATCGTCCCTCGTAGACCCGACTACAGAGACGCCAAACTCACTTTCAAATTTGGAAATTTCAGAGAGCGAGTCTGTGGACTCCTCCTCCTCCTCCTCTTCTTCTTCTTCTTCCTCCTGCTGCTGCTGCCGCTCCTCTTTTTTGGATGTGTTGGTGACGTTAAGCTGCTCCATCTGGGGAGAAACACTGTGTGGTTCCCCTGAGGTGCCGTTGGCATGGATGAGGCTGCTCTTCTGTGTCTGGGGCAAAGGCCCGTTGTTGTTGTTGTTGTTGGAGACCACTGGGGCTTCTGTCCCTGCGCCGTCTGTCCTCTGATCCACAGCCGTATGGCCCCGTTTCTGCCGCAGGGCAGAAGACTGCGAGATCTTTTTCCTCACCACTGTGTCCTCTCGGACCTTTTCTAGAATCAGCTCCTGCGTACAGATGGCAGAAGTGGGAGTTACAGTTACGCACGGCGGGTGGACGGAGTGCGCGAGTGAACCCGTCCCACCTTGGCCTGTTGCACCTCCTGCTTGGTCCCTGTGATCGTCACGCTGCCTGTGGCCCCGGGGCTCTGCGACTTCTCTTTGGAACACGTCACTTTGGCCCCCGTGGTCCTGGTGATCAGTTTCAGACTCTCTCCGCCGCGGCCTGTGAGACAGAGACACACACAGTTAGTCAAACAGCACACGGGGATAAAACCAATGACATATTATTACTATTATTAACAAATCCTGTTGCAGAACTAAACAATAAATAGATCCTTGGAGCAGAATATAAAACTGAAAAGAAGCATAATTCAATACCGATTATTCGCCCAAACGAGGTCTGAGGAACCTCCAGAGCCTCGACCACCGGCCTGCAGTCAGAGACCAGGTTCTTCAGCACGCAGCGGGCCAGCAGCACCTGCTCCTGGGAGCCGTGCAGGAGGAAGCACACGGTCGCCGGGGAGCCGGGCTCCGCCACAATCCTCAATTGAGCTCCGGACTTCTGGGCCACCTGAGGGAGGTGCAGACGAGCAGAGTTAGGCTTGACCCCCCTCCTGCACGTCGCCTTTTACCGTGTGGACGGTTGATTGGACAACGCAAGCTTTTGGAATAGGTCCTCTGGGCTACTGAGAAATGATGCATTTGTTCACCTTTTTCATCAAAATTAAAAAATTCTTTATATTGAAATGTTACTTCATCATTCTTCATATTCAATTTGTATTTTGTTAACTGGAGACGCTATTTAGCTTCATCTAACACGTACTTATTTAGCTTAATCTAACCAGGCTAACTAGCTATGCAAGAGCGAGGTTATTCAGGCACACAGTGCATCCGGAAAGTATTCACAGCGCTTCACTTCACTTCAACAACCCATAACGACAAAGTGAAAACTGTTTTTTGCTCATTTTTGCAAATCTGTTAAAAATAAAGAACGTAAACATCACATGTACATAAGTATTACAGCCTTTGCTCAATACTTTGTTTAAGCACCTTTGGCAGCAATTACAGCCTCAAGTCTTCTTGGGTATGATTGCACAAGCGTGGCACACCTATTTCTGGGCAGTTTCTCCCATTCTCCTTTGCAGAACCTCTCAGGTTCCATCAGGTTGGATGGGGAGCGTCGGTGCACGGCCATTTTCAGATCTGTATCTTAGTTCTGCAGGACTACGAACCCCACTGCTTTCCTTGGCGTAGGGCTTCAGGACTAGCTGGGCTCGACCGAGGCAACCAACCGGTGTGGCTCTTTAGCATTACACAGCACAGGTTTCATTATCCTACTGAGCTCGTCCTAACCGCTTACTTTGCAATACAGTACAATCGTGAACTCCCCATTCAGAAGATGCAACATTAAAGTGATGACCTCATTCAATGAGATAGATGGTCCTAACCTTTGAATGGTACTCTACATTATTATCATATTCTTAGAAACGTTAAATAACCCACGTTAATGCTATCTGGCCCAAAAGCACATTTGACAACTGTTAATAGTTTGATGCATCTTTGCATTCTTTTCCAGTTGACCGCATAGTGAGAGGGGGTGAGGATGAGGGGGCATAGTGAGATTTGCCTCCCTCCCCCATGTGTTCCATCATAGTTTTTATGTCCTCAATATATATATTAAAAAAAAAAATGGTTTAATGAGAAGGTAAGTGGTACTGTGATAAATATATACATGTAAAGTATGTATTGCTAAAGAAATGCGTTTTTTTCTGTAATTGATTTGTATTCGGTTTATTTTTAAAGCTACTTACCGTGTCCAGGAACGTGGCTTGGTATCTGGATAGGTTCCTATAGACCTCTATAGGAAGAGTCATCTTGGTCTCAGTGTTCGGTTCCTGAGCAGCTGATGGCAAAATGGACACGACGGTCAAGTCACGGATAAATCATCATTCTAATAACTCACACGATCATGTACGGGCTCGCATCTTGCTTATCCGAGGTCAGCTCGCAGGGGCAACAGCTGCAGCAGGTGACCACTCCTTAGGCGCGCCCCCCCCCCCCCCCGACCCCCGCCGACCCCCCCAACACCAATTGCCTGCAGCATCTCTGGACGGATCTCATCAATCCCCGAAGGCTTTGCCACTGCAGAGTGGTTTCATTACCTCAGTGACTTCCAGCAGGCCAATTGACGATGATCCCGCCTCTAAATGACATGTAATGTAATGACATGTAACAGCCCCGGGGTGAAAAGGCTGAATACTCTGAACTGCTGTTTGGTGCATAGTGACATACATTAGTCAGAGTCCCCCCCCCCCCCGTCCCCATAAAACCCAAACGCTTAAGGAGGAGACCCTGGGGTTCACCGGGGTAAACTCCAAAGTCTCCATTTCCCGGCTGTCCAGACCCGACTGTCACTGCCCCCCATGTGGTCGGTTTCCCCTACAGGTGGTGAGCCCATGGAGGGGGAGCATGGGGCTGCCTCTGCATGAGCAAACATGCAGAAATCTGGCCGGAGATGGAATGGCACAGCAGCTTTCCCACGGGGGACACTCACTGTGGCTGTCGCTGCTTATATGGCGGTAGACGATGTAGCCCACGGTGGCCCCGACGGAAAGCCCTGCGGCCAGAGCCACCATTTTCCCAGAGCTCAGGGCGTTCTTAGGACCTTCCATCACTGCATCCATGACACGCCGTGCCCCCAGCGGTATGCTCCACCTGAAACACACACACGACAACAGTCTCCTTCCCACCTGTCCTGCAAGAAACCAAGGTGCAATAACTGGTGTCATGTGCAATCCTCAGTGACGTGTTGGCCTGCTGGGACGGCGTACCCTCACGCAGCACGAAGCATCAGCCAGCCAGGAAACAAAACAGGCGCTCGCTGTTCTCAAACGTTCCCGCAGACCACGAGAAGTGGATTTCTCTGAGGAAGCCCCGACTTTTATGAAAAGGTCTTTTTTTACCCTCATGTCTTTATGCATTAGGCTAGGCTAGATATATTTGACTGTTAGTATTAGCAACTAGATTACACAGTTCCCTGCTTGGGACGAGTAGTTTGGGTTTACAGATAGCTGTGTTTTATTTAGACGCTTCCGTCAGGTGGAAGGCAACACTTTTATAGAAACACTAAATGGTGCACCAGCAACTTCCAATTGCTTGTTAACACAAAATGCTAATCAGCCAATCAAATGGCTGCAACTCAACGCGCTCCTGTAGGCTAACAAGAAGAAGCTGAGACTACAACTTGCACAGGCTCACCACCGTGAGGCAATAGAAGATTGGAAAAACGTTGCCTGGTCTGATGAGTCTTAATTTCAGATGTTCGGGTCCGAATGGATCCACCCCACCTTGTGTCAACGCTTCGGGCTGTGCTGCTGTGGGGATGTTTTCTTGGCACACTTTGGGCCCCTCAGCACCCATTGAGCGCGGTTTAAATGCTGCAGCCTATTGAGTGTTCATGTCACAAAGCTCACATCATCTCAAGCTGGTTACTTGGAACATGACAATGAGCTCACTGTACTCCCACGGCCTCCAGTCACCACATCTCAATCCAATATGGGGGTGCGGTGGAACGGGAGATTCATCATAGATGTGCAGCCCACAAATCTGCACCAACTGTGTGATGCGATCATGTCAATATAGAGCAACATCTCTGAGGAATGACTCATGTCTGTGTGTTAAAGGAGCCCGGTCCTTTTACCTGGGCTGCTGGATTGCCCCGGGTAGTTCTGTCTGACGCGCAGTTCTTCCAGCCTTGGTCCCCCCTGCGTTCCCCTGCCTGCAGGAATAATCCACCGACCCGTTGTGTGTGTTGTTGATCTTGCGTTTTATTTTTGCCGTATAATGTTTGTTCCCAGCAGAAGCCACTCTCTCGTGTCGCCACAGCGGTCAAAACCCTTTCGCTCTCCGGGTCCAACACCTGATACCAATTGTCAATATAGTATCAATTATATAGGCGCACACAGGACCCAAGAACAGCGCCACCCAGTGTACAGAATAAAATAGACATTAGGCTGCTACAGTATGCAACGAAGAATTAAGGCAGTTGACCTATGAGGGTTGCTGGTTTAGTTTGAGACCTCCCTAAAGTGCACTTAACGGACCCCTGGAGGTCCCTGTGACCCCGTTTTGAGAACCCAGCCAGACTACATCACTTACAAAAATAACAAGCTGGCAAAGAAACTCAGCAGAGAAAGAAAAACATGCACACACACACACACATGCACGCACACACAGAGAAGCGTTTAGTGCATCATGTGCAGACGCACCAAGCCAAACTGCAGCTGCTGTGACCTCTGACCTCAGGACCACTGAAAGCTGCTGCAGCACAAGTTGCTGCAGTTTAGCTCAGTTGGGCGACCTCCAGCCATTCGATTAACCGCCGGACACTGGCCGCCAGACGTTTGCAAGGCTTTTAGTGATATCCTGGTGAAAGCAACACACGCGCAGAGCGAATGCACTGGAGGTGAACCAACAGCGATGAGCACTGGGATGACGCGGGCCGAGGGACATGCAAGACGCCTGTCTCACTGGGAGAAGAGGGCTCTGGGACAGTAGTTGAGAAACACGTGGGACTTTGACACTCCAACGTCCATCTCGGAAAGAATCGGGACTAAGAGACAGAAATCTTCTCCAATGTCGGTGAGTGTTTAGTCTGTGTTTGTATACAGACACGTTCAAGACTACTGACAGACAGGTAGAAGGAGAACAGCTTTCAGCATTTCAGATCACAACATGACAGAAGCTGGTCAATCACATTGGACAGAATTTAGTAGGGAGACGATCAGAAAACCCTCATTAGTTCATCACAAACCCTCATGATCTTCCCCGTTGCAGATATTCTCCAGGTAAAGTGTGCAAACGCTGGTATGAGTAGCAGTTTTCTTTAATACAGCGGCTCCCAAACTGAAGTATGCTACGGCCCACTTTGAAATCTGAAAATCTTTCGCGGGCCACCCGAACCTTTAATCACAACTCTGATCAAAACATAAACTAGGGATGATTAAATGACCTTAAGAATTTAACCAAAATCAAACATGCGCGAGCAAAGGTCCGTCTCCGCGAGGTATTTGCTCGCTTGCGAAACGTGAGCTTCGTTGCTCGCGAGGAGAATCTCTGCTCGCGCTCGAAGGAGTTTTCTACGCGCTCGCTGTTGTTCTTTTTGACAGTGAGGTGGAGACGGTGCTTTCAGGGTCCGACCGATGCCGCGAGGTGCGTCCGCTCCCGCCGCCCCCTCGCCATCCACGCCTTAAATCTTCGGCTGCTTTTGGAATAACTTATTTTCCCCGTTAAGATGGTTCAGCTACTGTAGAGAAAAGGGCGCCGTCTCTCGCTCTTTAATCTCATGAAGTGCTCGGCGAGAACGACGGCTTTGTTTCTCCGACGCGCCCTGAAACAAGCTCCATATCTCACAAGTTGAGCGCCGCTCAGCATCTCGCCGTCGTAGACGAGCTTTGTCATGTTTGGCAGAGAGCCTTGAGCGCCGTGTACAACCAGTATGGATCAACCGGTTAACCAATTGATCCATATATATATATATATATATATAAGCGCGCTCCGGATTATAAAGCACTGTCTTTTTTGAGAAAATTAAAGCCTTTTAAGTGCGCCTTGGAGTGCGGAAAATGCGGTATATTGACTTTAATACTACAAGAGGGCGTCCAGTTTGTTGAACAACGACAGGCGGACAAGAGCAGCCGTTTCGAGCGAGAGCCTTATTGTTTTATTAATCTGTCCGTTTAAATTGTTTGTGCTTCATCAATTAATGTTTCACATAACTAATGTGCCGCATCATAAATATTTTTATATTAATTTCAAACTTTTAAAAATTGAAAATGATCAAACTTTATTGTAAATGACCTCTCGCGGCCCACCTGCAGTACCTTCGCGGCCCACCAGGGGGCCGCGGCCCACACTTTGGGAATCGCTGCTTTAATAGTAGAGCGGATACTGGCTTCAAACAGCAAAGAGTTTCATAAAATAACATGAGAATGTGTTTCGGAAGGTTAAACAGCAGATTGTGGGAATAAAATCCCGAATGTCATAATAAGTGGCGCGTGGTGCTCGGTTCCGCCCCCGACGCCTTGTGTTTATGGAGGAAAGGCTTCGAGTTGATGAAACCGAGCGGACACGTCGAATCACGTCATCAAATGCGCAACATTCGAGCGAATCGTGTTTAGCGCAACGTTAAATGTCGTGAACGGAGTTCGGCGCGACCCCCAAAGCGTCGCCCCAAATGCACAGAATGCGGGTGCGCCTTCCGACGGGAACGACCGCAAACACACCTCTGAGCTAGCATTAGCATTAGCATTAGCCGCTGGTTGACATATGCGAGCGAGGCAAACGTTTGGAAAAGGGGCGCGCGCAGGACCACTAAACGCCCCAGTCCGCGTGTGTTGACACCGCCTAATGTCATTCAAAACGAACAGGAAACACGTGTTATTGTGAGACTTACAGGCACCTTGATCTCTTAATCGACCCCGAATGCAACTTCTGTCAAGCTGCTAGTCGACCGGAAACTGCCCGACGTTACGTTTACACGCGCGGTTCAAACGCTGTGCGCGTGTACAAACACCAGCAGCGTGAACGCGTGTGGACCAGCAGTGCGGCTGCTGTCACTCATCAGACCCGCCCAAAACAATTCACGCTCATTTCTCCTTAAAGAAATGTGACTGCCACCGAAATACCGACGTCCATCTAACGTCATTTACGCTGACAGGTGAACCGGAAGTCGGTCTCTAAATTCCAACTACTTTACACGTGCCAGTTCGTCACGCCCACACGTGCGCTGTTGCTACAGGGAGACGATCACCCACCCGGAGGTCAACATTCATTTACCATTTACTTTATTAAAATAGTATTCCACAGTTTACAACTATTTAATGTCTATATAGTGTTTGAAAACAATATTTAATTCAATTTATAGATTTGAAAATATATAGTTTAGCTATGGAGCATTCTAAATGCATACTTCCAACTTATGTACTCAAAACATTTGGGTTAAAAAATGAAAAATATTATTTTGCATATAGTTTGTTTTAAGTTTGTGCTTCAATTTGTTGACACATGTTGATTTGACAATATGTATGTGCGTTGCAAGTCAAATATAGTCATATAAATCATTGGCACTACAATAACTTCAATTTACCATTACACTATTTTATGTATTTTGTAGAACTTAAGCAGCAGAAGCTGACCTAGCTGACCAATCTTAAATCTTAAAACACTTTAAGACAGCCCATAATGGCATCACATTCTTATCATTTTGGCCAAATCTCGTTGTCACAGGCTGAGCAGCGTCCCTCATTAAACCAGTAAACTCATCTTCGTGCAAGTTGGAGTTTCAAAAAACTAAATAAAAGAAAGTCAATGTTTAAGAAGCTAAAAGGTCAAATCAAACGTGCCATTATTGAGACTTAAATACAATATGTTGAATTGGAGTGTAAAAAGTGTTCCTGACACAGCTCATCTTCTCCTTTCTGACTGTATTGAATTATTCTGGGTGACAATATTTTCCAGAAAACAATCTCATAAATAAAAGTGTATTTATTAACATGACAATCAATACACAAACAAATTTGTCCTGAACATAGCAACTTTAAAAAATACAAAATAGACATATACATTATGTATTCTGTGAGCAAAACCCCCCACCCTAAAAATCAAGTGACAGAGGTGTGCCGGGTGATGCATCAACTCTGCAGGTTGCACCAGCGGCTCGGCAACGAGCAGCATGGACGTCGTGCTCCACGGAGTCCGTTTGTGTTGAGAAATAAACAGTAGAACTACAGACAACGTGTGTGTGTGTGGATGAAGACAGAGCATTCACTGGTTCTTACTCGTGCAGCACAGTCCATGTGTGTGTCAGGACATGAAACACAAGTATGAACACAACTGGGGCCAATGCCACAAATTGAAACCATTGTTGTTTTCTTGCATTGTGGCGTTTGTCTTAAAACCACGTTCAGTAGTTTCATGCGGGTTAAGCAAAGTCAGAAAGTGTTTGTGAGTAGTGCCAGAAAAACGCAACTGCGTTTTTGCACTAGTTTTACTTGAACCTCTTCAAAAACATTAAGTGTGGATCTTAAAGAGCCGTTTTAGTGATGCATTCAGTAAAACATGCACACACAAAGGGGGTTTGAGCCGTGGAAAAGTCTGGATACCGTGATAGTCTTCAATTTAAGTCTATTCAGGCCCAATAACCGACCGACAGAACCACAAGTCCACCGTGAGGGTTGTGGTCATTTGAACGACTGGGAATATATTTAGATTAGGGGAGAGCTAAATCGATGAAATCCGGACCACAACTGACCCTTCAATAAGCCCCAACAAGCAGTTGGATCAGCCTTCAAGGCCACACGGCCATTAACTGCCCTGCCTGCATAACTATTATCTAACATTTGGCATCACAATAAAGCTATTTAAAGCGTGTGGAGGATCAGAACCAGAATCAAATATCAAGGAATTACGAAACGACTGCACGAGCGTACGTGAAGCACAGCTGGATCGCAGTCGGACCTGCACGGTGCTGCGCTACGATTGGACAGGCTGCGTATGAGGGCGGGATTTAGCATTACAGTATACATCGTTTTATGTCACAGAATCAGTACATTAACATCAGGATTCAAAACACCTTCCGGAAAATCATTGGCTAATTTCTGCCCTGTTCCCCCTAAGCAGTTATTCCGGCACCGACAAAAACGACTTTCATTGCTTAACATTTGTATAAAGACAGTTATTACGTGTGGCATAAAAGCATGGTATTTAGTTCTGAAATGACCAATTCATGCCACCACCCCACATACAGTAGCAATATCAAAAACCATGTCCATTTGAAATGATGACAGCACCACGAAGAAGGCTGGTCTGATTGAAATAGACCGTCAGTGATACAGACGTCTGCTGCTGCACATTACAGGTGAGCGGCCTGAACACATTAGAGTAACGGGGACCAGGAAAGGGTCCCAGTGTACAGACGCTTAAGAAGAACTCTGCTGCATGAGCACACGTACATCGAGTGGAACCATCGATTGTTGGAGGGACTCGCTGAGATCGCTGCTTCATAGCAGCATGATGGCACATCCTGCAGTTAGATAAACGTGTATACGGCGAACATCTAACGGCAGATATGTTTGTAGAGCACATCTAACCGTTCGGCTCACTGGCTGAATGAAGCTCAGATCACATCTTGTCAGACGCAGTGTTGGACCATATTCTGTAAATAGCCAGCAAACAAACATCCTGTTACATATGGAGCCCCGAAGTGTGCAATATTAAATCAATAGAAATGACAGGATGAAATAAATAACCACAGGAATAAGTGGTTTAAAATTTAAAGATCAACCGACAAAAAATATATATAGATTGTTTTTCTTCTAAGATTGACAAAATTTAATTAGAAGTCATTTGTATTTCATTACAAAAATAGCCTTATTCAAAAGTCTGACGTACTCAATAAGGGCATTCCTGTTGCATATTGTTTTTGGTCACTGCCATCTCACCTTCACTCGACCCCGGCCTCCTAAACCAAAGCCGTTACCTGGAAGGACGACGATGGTGAATAAATCAACCAGAGGCTGCTGCAGGAACTAAAGACACACTAAACCATTTAAGAGGCTACGCTAGCTATTAGCCAGTAAGCAGCGTGAGCTAGTACCCATTGAGAGGAACATCTTTAGCTTGAACATGTGGCAGAAGTAAGAATCAGCTAGCGGGCGTTAGCTGCTGCGGCTAACACGTCTCTTCACCTTGATGCTTCACACTACAGCTCCCAACCAGAACTAGCCGGTTAGCCCAAATAGTTGTCTTTAAGTAGCATGTCCAGCTTTTGTGTCAACGTTTTGCTGAATCATTTCCAACACTCTTGTTCTACCTACTACGTCTCATCGCGCTACAAGCGCCGGCTGGTGTGGAGTTTACAAGTTTAAGAGGCGACTTACTGAAAGTCCAGTGTGGGATAAAAACAAAACAAAAAGACTTAATAGTTTTGAAGATAGTTAAAAAACAATTTCCCTATCTATTTCCTAATGAAGCTGTTTAATATTGAACACTTCGCAGTTCCTTTTTCAGCTTCAGCAGTTTTCCCTGTGAATGACGAGAGGACACATTTCAACGTGCGCGTCTCCTTAAATGATTTTCACTAAAACATCCTTTGTTTGGGGTCAGACAGCAACCGCGCACAAAGTCTCTGAGAAGAGGGGGACAGTGATACAACCTCTTCAGAAAACATTCCTCATGCTGTTAAAACTAACTAATGCCAGACAATAAATAGTTGCCTGTTGAACGGAAAGAGAACAGACCCATTTACGTCACTAAGCCCCCTCCGCTGGTGCTGAAGTGTTGATGTGCAGTGTGTGATCCCACAACACCAACTACCTCACAGAGAACGCATCAGAATGGAGAATTCATCCCCAACTTGGTTTCAAACTGCAGCTTCTGTCTCTTCTGGTAGCGAACTCGCACCCTGAAACGGACAGAGGGGACAACATCAGAGCTTTGGATCAAACAAGGGACATAAACTCACTTTGTGAATGAGCACAAAATCATTCTGAAAATCCACACTGATTCTTGCCCCCCGCGTATCTCTCCTCATACCGTATCTCGTGCAGCTTCACCACCTCGTTGACCACCACCACCAGCAGCGGGGACAGAGAGGCCAGCAGCCAGGCCAGCAGGGGTATGTCGCCAAGGTCAAAGGTCAGGGGGCTGCCTCGGTCACGCCATAACTGGTAATCCACTGTGGCCTGAACAAGGTGGCTGAGCAGACTGCAGGAGAGGGGAGAGAGATTAAGGAGACGGGATCCACTTCTTCCAGGTGGCCTTTCAAAATAAAAGCCATAGGTACACGTACACTGCGTAAATGGAACTGAAATGGATATTTTGCTATAACGAAACCAATAAAGACATTTGATGAGACAGTAGCTTAGACTCAGTCTGCCAGATGTTGCTGAGGGTCAATAGGATGCTGGTTGTCTGCTTATTGTGAAGGTTAATTAAAAACGTCCTGCGTGTGACAAACATGCATATCTTCTAGAAGGTGTGGCTGGAGTATTTAGCATTTTAGAAGTTTGTGTTATTAAACATTTGGCAGCTGTTTCACTGGTTTTAACTTCTTAAGTGACGTTAATGTAAATGTTAAAGGGGGAGGCTAAAGTAAGGAGTGCGGACGGTTGAAAGTCGGCATAACTTCAGGCGGGATGTTCACTCACACCACAGGTACAGTGATACACCACCAGGTGTTGCGGAAGGGATTCTTTCTCCACAGAGGTTGAGAGCGGTGGACGTAGCTGAGTGAGATCGCCACTGAGGAAATGAGAAACAGAATGAAGCGGTCGGTTTGAATAGCGAACAATGATTTATGCTGCGTACGTTACAGGGACCTCCTACCAGTGTGTAAGACGAGGAATCCCGCCATGACCTTCTGAGTCAGCAGCAGGCCGTTCGACAGCTCGCCGAACCAGTGAGGAGCGTCCACCGAAGAGCTGCGAGAGTCAAACAGAGCGACAGTCGGCGCACGTCCCATCATTTACAGCATCAAATCCTCCTGGAAACGTGATGTCAGGGACGCCAGTGCTTCGCACACCTGGCCGTGAGCACATGCGCACGAGTGGTGTTGTCAGCGAGGCTGGAGTTGCTGCTTCTGAAGCAGACCTCCTGCAGGGTGAAGCCAAAGCCCAGCAGGTAGGCACACACCGACAGGCCAAACTTCAACAGGAAACAGCCAAGGAAGTAGTTCTGGGTCTGGAAAAAGAAGGCGACACGATGAGAGCGTGGGACCAAATGTTATGAAGGGCTTTTATTTGTCCCGTCTATTCAGTCAATAAATGATGCATATTTTTATCATCATCATCCCCACTTGTTACTGGTATAGTATTACCTTTAACAGAACGCATGTAGGGCTGTTTGCTGATCATCATTACGTCTATTAAGTTGTTGGTCAACAATATTTTTGGCCAGAAAGTGATCAGCAGTACCGTAAATTCCGGACTATAGAGCGCACCTGAATACAAGCCGCACGAAACAAAAGATGCGTGTACATATATAAGGTGTCCACGCGGCAGAAAAACGACTGCTGACGCAGAGTTCGTCCCACCATTGATTCATTAATGGAAGGTTTACGCGCCGCCGCTCTGTGTCCTTCTCCGACAGCCAGATTGGTTGCCCGTAACCTGCACCGGTCTGTCTCGCTCTCGCTCATTATCGTACATTCACACCAAAAGCAATTTAACCACTACTTCTGCTCTTTATTGGTTCGGGTTCATGACCTCATCCGTCGCCGCACACAGCTTGACTTTCAGCGACTCCTGCAGGAGGTGCGTCTGGATGACCGCGGCTTCCAGCGCTGCTGCAGGCGGACCAGCAGCCGGTCTGATGACCTGTTGTGTCGGATCGGTGCGTCTCTCGGTTACACACAAACTAACTTACAGGCGTTCAGTCTCAGCTGTGTGTGTCTCCGGCGAGCGGCCGTTTAATAACGTGCGTTCACGCTGTGGCAGCAGGACGGCGGTGATGACGAGCGGCGCGTCTCAACGCCGATTGACTTTCGCTAGACAGCGCCGGGCGGATATAAATATAAAAAGCGATTTAATCGCTTCACTCGTATCGCTCTTTCGCACGCGCCGCCTGTTTGAAATCTGCCTCATTCACAACCAGACGCCTCTGTGCATTGACTTTACATGGAATCTACTCACGTGAATGTTTCGCTTCGCTTTTGGTGTGAACGTACCATTACCCCGTAAACAAATGACACATTAGCCGCACCATCGTATAAGCCGCAGGGTTCAAAGCGTGGGGAAAAAAGTAGCGGCTTATAGTCAATAGAGTTTACGGTACATTTGAAATATTTGACTGGCATGTGGTCCTACCTTCCTTGGGATTGCATCCAGGTTCTTCCCTGTGGCCACTGTCATGGACAAGCTGTCGGGCGGCTTCCCCAAAAACGACACACTGCCAACACAACAGGAAAACGGAGGCATGACATCCGGTGCGGCACAGCACACCTCAAGAGTCTCACTGGTCTCCACCGTGTGTACCTCAGCAGTGGGCAGCTGAAGCAGGACAGCCAGAGTATGTCAGTGGTGTTCATGGGAGGAGGAAGCTGAGCTAGACAGGCCAAGAACTGCAGAGAAACAGCCGCACACCTCACATATTTATTCAGCAGCACGGCTTGTATTTCTACATACAAAGCTAGCAGTGCGGCGCAGATGTCCGTGGACAAGGCGTCCGCTCTCACCTGGATGATGACCAGACTCAGCTGGCACTGCAGCAGGAAGAGGAAGGACTTGCGGATGCCGTAGGTCGTGTGTCGCGCCTGGAACACATTCCCCCCAAAGGGTTAATGAGGGCATCTGACGGCGCTCTCCGACCCGCTGCGCGTTGGCGGCGCGTCCTAACCTGCTCGATGAGCTTCACCATGCTGACGCTCTCCCCTTGGTGGAAGGTGGCGGAGCAGCCCAGCGTGTTGAGCTGTCCAGAGAGCCTCAGAGGACACAGACCTTCAGCGTCCGCGTCGCTAAATCCTCCCCCAGTGGCGTAGCCGAACGTCTCCCACGAACACTGAGAGGGGTACAGGGGGTCCAGGGCAATGCTGCGGGGGGATTCACATAGACGCAAATCAGGATTATAGTACTACTCAAGGGGGCAGAAAGTTACCAGAATACATTTCATCACTCGCCTCATAGAATCAATCATTAGTTTGTTTTATCCAGGTTTAGGTGGATCTGTCTCATTACGAGAAAATTCATCAGTTATATAATAATCCGTCCAGTAAATAGAAGTAGTATTACGGAGTGCTGTGTTAATGGATGAACTGCTCACACCACCGCTCTGTGGATTATCTGATAACGGGACACTGACTCTTGAGTGTTGCGCTTTGTTAACTTTTGTGAAACTTATTCGTCAACGCTGCGAGTCCCTCAGAGACGAACATCTCCGTGCCTGAATTAATAGAACCAGAACTATCTGCATGGCGAGATTCCACCAAAGTAAGACAACAATGTTGTATTTTAACATTAAAAAGCAAACAACGAACCATATTAATGTGCGCTTACCTGAGGTCACTTTGTAGAAACAGGCGGCTGTTGCGGAAATTGGCGGAGCTTCCCAGGCAACATGTTACCTCCCTGTTCTCCTGCATTATCTTGATCATCTCACACATGGCTGTGGAGAAAAAGGATCAATATGAGAACCTTTAAAGAGTAAAAGTGTGCACAGAATTAAGTGGAGCGACGCAAACGGACGGTGACTTATTATGTCAAAGCGCGTGGAGAGGACTCACTGTCGGGGGTGCAGTCAGTGAAGAGCGGCACCAGAAGAGGCACATTGTCGATGTTCTTCAGATGGGGACGAACCTGGTGGATGCCACGAGGTAGCTTAGCCTGCCGAAGAGCAGAGACAGAAAAGACATTAACAGACAATATGCTTCAAATAAATTCCACCCATTTGACGGCTTTAAATCAATGGCAGTGCACACAAATAATCCCCTTAAAGCAATGCGTCATCTGCTGTGAAAATAACACGTGGCTTTCTTTGTGAAGAACGGAGCCGCAGCTCCACTGGTTTTGATAGGAAGACGTAGTTACCCTGTTGCAGTCCTCCAGGAAGCTGGGAACGTCGCTGTCTGTGGGCTGGAAACCGGCCAGGTCAGAGTGGGCTTCCTCCTCCGCCAGGAGCGGGCCCTCTGCCTCGTCCCGGGAATCTGTGTGTCATGGGAAGACGGCGGATACTCTTATTAAGAGAGCTCAGTACGGAGCAAGTCCTCCACGTGGTACACTGAGCAGCTGCCTGCACGGCTCCACGGGCAGGAGAACTTGACTCCGTACGGCGCACGCACTGCAGAATTTGTTGCTTCAGTTGACCCCACCTTCTAAGACCGATTGGACATCCACATAAACGGTTCAGAATGTTGAGTTGAGCGGAGTTTTTACAAAGAGGTTTGGTACCTTGGGTTAGGAGTCCATGCAGGGAGACATGGCCGGGGCTGGTCTGAGCTCCGTCACAGGGACTTTCTCCATTTGGGGTCAAAGAGATGTGACAGTTCCAGCCTGTCTCCAAACCCATCTTCTCTGCAAAGACCTGCACGCACACAGAAGCCATCTTCAAATCATCAGTCCACAAAGCAACGGATGACATCACCATGACGTCCACGGCTTATAGACAGTAGGGCTGCAACTAACGATTATTTTGATAATTGATTAATCGGTTGATTATTTCTTGGCTGCAACAACGAAACGATGAAATCGCTAAAATTTGATTATTAAAAGCGTTGGCAACAAATTGCATTATTGTTGCGCGCAGAGCAAAAAAATAAAATAAAAACGCAAGGCCGACGTAGAGGACAGAGCAGCCAGCAGCGCCGGCAGTTGTTGATCAAGCTAGCGTTAGCTCGCTAATAACAGCAGTAAACCAGCTAGCAAGATGTTTTTATTTACTCTCCTATTTTGGATCATTCATTTTTCAATCTGTTGTCTTGTATATATTTCGTGCTTTGTCCCATATCGGTTCTTGTTGACAAATATATTTGCGTGTGTTGTACTTTTTAATGCTGTCATATACGGTCCATATATATATATAGTCCAGTGCGCTTGCGCATATACTGTGGGTTATACGGTAGTTGATGTTATGCCTGTAAAGGGAGACACATGGTGATCCATTAAATCAACTAAGAGGCCTCTAATGCATTTATTTACAAATGCCATTTTAAATTCAGCTCATGCACTCATGCAGCTGTATACATTTACTTAACTTGCACTACAATGATGGTAATAATTTAATGAATACGTTGTGTGTTTGTGAGTGTGAGCGTAGTATAGAGAACTAGTTCTGATGTTAAAACAAAATCCTGTTAAATTTTCTGATTCTTTTTTTTATAAATTATGTTCAATTAATCGAAGAAATAATCGACCGATTAATCGATTATCAAAATAATTGTTAGTTGCAGCTGTAATAATTTCTTCAATTAATCGCTGAATCAGATTAAAAAGCTTTAATTCCCAACCCTTTATTCTAAAACAGAACTGCAAAAATACAGGTTGCTCCTTGAACATAATCATTTATAAAAAGAAAAATACAAATCCAAAAATGTAACAGGATGTGTTTTAACGTCAGAACTCGTTCTCTATACTACACTCACAAACACCCCATGTTCACTTGAAGCTTATTCATTAAATTATTACCATCATTGTCGTGCAAGTTAAGTAAATGTCTACACCCCATCTAAGTACAGCTAAAAACACAACCAGGTGCTATGAGATGAATTCACAATGGCATTTGTAAATAAATCCAATAGAGGCTTCTTAGTTAGCCGCGTTGGTTTAATGGATCATTGTGTCTCCTTTTACAGGCGTAACATCACCTACCGTATAACCCACAGTATATGCGCAAGCGCACTGGACTACCGTATATGACAGCATTAAAAAGTACAACACACACAAATATATATGTCAACAAAAACCGGCATGGGACAAAGCACGAAACAGACCGTCCGTAGCGTCCACCCCCCCAATGCTCGCATCGAATTTTATCAATTTGTTGTTGCAGCCCTAATAGACAGTCTTTGAGTCTACTTCTGACCATTGTTGTGGGTTTTTTGGTAGCAAGAAAAAAGGAGGCCCTCCTCTGTCACAAATTGTGGAAAGGTTACAACGGCATGCTGTATTGGATGGTGGAAGAAGCCTCCTGCTGTCAGCAGATACACATCCCCAGGAAAGACCATCATACATTAGTCTGGCCCACCCAACCGACTAGGTAATATAGGAGGTTCACATGAGGGCTTGTGTGTGTGTTCACCTTGCTGCGGAGCTCATCCTCCATGGAGAAGTAAACAAACCGGATACACGCCGTGACGAGGGCGTCGATGAGCCGGACTGTGTCCAGCCGTGCCTGGAACTGCGACGATACCATGCCCATGAAGATCTGCCCACTGAGGGCCTGGACGCAGTCATCGCGCTCCGCGCCCTCTCCTATGCCCTCTGGACACACAAAGGGGGGGAAGAGAGGAGTTGAAGTGGTATCCTTACTCCGACCATACGTCCCTCCGTAAATGACGCGTACCGTCAGAGCTCCAGCTGTTCCTGCAGGAGTTGTGTTTGATGGGGGTGGTGGAGGGCAGCTCCACCCCGGAGAAGAGGCAGGGGCCGGGCACCAGCTCCACGCACTTCCCGTCCAGTTGGCCAGACAGGGAGACCTGCATGGGTTTGTAGGCAAACGCAGAGCAGTAACCGGACAGGCAGGCTCGCTGGTAGAAGTCCAGAACCTTCTTTCTGTCGGGACAAGAGACGAGCGAAAGTGAAATGAGGTCATTTTGTTGATTCTTAAAAGGGGACATTTTGTGAAAGTTTCACTTTGATAGGTCTTCTACACGTTAATGTGGCTGACTGGCACGTCTACCAACCCCCAAATGCTGGAAACAAAACACAGGGCTCATTAGCATTAAGGCCTCAAACGAGGAGTTTTGAGCGGAGCCTTTTAAGGCAGGCTGAAAAGAGCTGGTGACAATGACCCTCGTGGTATTTTGACCAAAGACCCACTTCATCGTGTAGTAAAAGGGCATAACAGGTCTCCTTTGATGTTTGAATGAAGGTTCACCGCAATGCAACAATGACACCGCACCTGTCTGAGCCTGAGAGCGGATAGATATCCGCGCCATCCCAGAAGTCGGTGCAGGCCTCCAGGATGAGGTCGGCCGAGCCATGCGACAGCATCTGGACATTATCTGCTCACAGAGCGACATAAGCAATACAACTGAGAAGCACTCTAAAAGAAAGAGACCAGTTAACACAGAAAACTACAAGAAGGTCATTAAAAAAATATGTGTGTGTGGACTCACTGGAGAAAGCGTCTCGAACAAACAGGGAGATCAGATGGGAGAGGGGAGGCTGACGTTTGGTGAAGTAATGAAGGTGGCGGGAAGTGAACTCCTTGGTCTTCTCTCCTGACGGCAGCTGGTACAGAGCCAAGTGGTTCTCCTGCTTAAACAGCTCCCGGGCACCAGGAGTGAACCCTGAGAAACACACACACACAGAAAGTCCCGAAGTTCAACACTTCAGAACCAGAGCAGGAATATCCGGCCATCCTCATTACACGCTCACCTATGAGCCTGGAGAGCTCGCAGAGGCCCCAGGGCACGTGGACGGGCAGCACCGTGCCGTGGCTCTCCTGCAGGGCCAGGTTGGACAGGTGGTCGGAGAAGCGGCAGAGCTGCTGCGTGACGCTGGCGTTGCAGAGGTTCAGCATGATGTTTAGGCCCAGCGGCTTCAGGGACGGCAGGTGGCACTGCCAGGAGAGGTCGTCGAACTGGATGCTAGCCGGGTTCTGCTGGTCCTGCGACAGGCTCAGCATCTCCAGGTGGTAGTCGCACACAAAGTCGTCCGCCTCCGCCTCGGGGCAGCCCATCCCGAAGTCCTGGAGACGCAAGGGGGCGAATGGGTAAGTCTGAAAAGACGTGCCCTCTTCGTTCAGGACTTCCAGCGCTCTTTTGTCCACCTGGTCGTCCTCGCCTCCCTCCGCGTTGTGGCTGAAGCTGACGTTGGACCCCGAGTGGTGTTTGGTGCGAGTGTGCGCCGCCTGACCGGAGCGCCGCAGCCGAGCGGTGTCCGTGGAGCGGGCGGTGCAGCGCGACGTCTCGCTGGGCTCGGGGCCCTCCCCCAGCTGGGCCGAGGACTCCGCTAGCAGACAGAGCAGGGCCTCCGCCTCCTGAGCCTGTGCGGCGGGCGACACAACCAGTCAGGGGCGGAATACGGTACGGCGCATGGTCGGCCGGTGAACGCACACCACACCACACACACACACACCTCCTCCCGGTCCTCGTCGGTCTCCATCCGGCAGTCGGAGCTGACAGACAGGTCGTCCCTGAGGTCGTCCTGGCTGTGGTGAGGCGGCTCCACTCGCCCACTGAAGAACAGCACGGTCTCTGGACTGGGGTTAGGCCAGGACAGGACGCCCTGCTTGTCCACACAGCACAGCACCTGCGCGCACACACACACACACACACACACACATACCGCATGTATCTTTTGTCCGCAGTCCTCCAGCAGCTACATTGTTGCTGAGAGCTGCCTTGTGATTTGCCAGTTCACCACTTTTAATGGGAACTAGACGCAGTTGAAATGTTAATCTATTTTATACAGAGGTAGTTGGACCATTATAAAAGTATTGGTAGCATTTTAATATTTGAAATTTGATTTCGTGAAACTCCTTGTGCTAAACCAATCCACAAATAAAACCACAGCTCTACATCCTAGATAGTTTGACCTGCCGAACTAATTGCCCCTATAAATTTAGCAACTTCATATCTCTGAATAGTGACCAGCAGAATAAAAAAAGGGGACATTTTCTATTCAACGATTTCCCCAAATGGGCACCCATGATACTCACAGTGACTGATCCCAGAGTGTGTAGAAGGCTGGAAGTGTAACAGAGCGTCTGAGACTCTCCCTTCAGGACGCCAACCGTGTGTCTCCACACACAGCGCAGCAACTCCTACACACACACACGCACACACACACACACACACACACACACAAAGATATGAGTTTAAAAATAAATGCTGATTGAGTTAATAAAAAATAAATAGCAAAAACAAGCAGATTGAGGAGGCAACTGGGCCTAAAAGCCAGACAGCATCTGTAAAACAGCTGTTTGATCGGGGCTGAAGGCAGAGGGGAGATCCAACACTACGATGCTGTTGGCATGAGGCGAGGAGGAGAAGCGCAGTGCAAAGTGCAGCGTTTTTGTGAGTGGACCAAAAACACATCCATGCAGATTTAAAATCACTTTGTCTGGAATCCATGACGAGCGGACGAGCGAGGGACAAACAATCACAGCTCGTACGTATGAGGGGAAACATGTACGTAGGGATCAAACACTCAGGCCCCCGCGTTACACTGGAGGACATTAAGAGTTTTATTTATTTATATACGTTAATCCTCAATAGACATTGGGGAGCTTTGAAGAATGAACCCCCTCTAGCTGTACAATAGGCCCACCCCAGTGCATGCTGGTCCTGTACCTGCCTACTCCCACAAGTGCCCTCACAGAATACATCTAAACACAAACTAAACAAAAAGTACAACAAATAATTGTTTAGTTAAACAAATTACTCAAAAGTTACTTTACTAAGTCCCAAAAATCTGACCAAAATAAGTAAACCTCCATGATGATCAACATTATTTATGAATGAAATAACCATGTACTGACGTAGCTCCTAATAACAGTTCAAAGATAACCGGGTTTGTGGGCGTAAACCTGCATCGGGAGGAGCTTGGTCACGTCGTGCTGACGGATAATCAGACGGAAGGGTGAAAAAAAGCAGAAAGCAAAACAGAAAGCAAAACGTTACACAATGAACACAAGGAGAGAGAGAGTGGGAGGAGATGTAATGGAGATGGGGGGTGTGGGGAGGAGCAGAGAGGGTAGCGAGTCTCAAAGGGGGCAAACACCCAGCGGGTTCGGGGGGAGGGGGGGGGGGGGGGGGCAGCAAGAGGTTATACCTGGGAGGAAACCACTTCGGTGTAGCTGCTCAGAGTGTCCTCAGAGAACTTAGCAAGCTGGGGCGAGAAGAAAGTCTAGTTAAAACACAGAGTGACGCCTTCACGGTGGCTCCTCTGTGTGTGTTGGACCGACATGGCGTTAGCGCTGCCTGAATGGAAGGTGCTAGCAGCCGACACGGGGGAAAGAAATAACTGTACAATCAGTACGACAGTTGGGTCGTTTTGTCTCGGGCTCAGGGAAGCATTTGAGTGAAAGGAAGATTTGCACAGACTCAGATAAAACTGGCCTTAAGTTAACAGCCACCCTGCTGAGCGGAACAATCGGGTCAAACTAATACTTTCCTGACATTTAAAAAGGTGGAGACGCGCCGGGACTCGCAGAGCCGCAGAGATAGAAGCACAAAGAACATACTTGTTGAAAACAGCGTAGCAGGACGGTTACATTTTTATGCACGCGGTCGCCAACGGCAACCGTTGGAGCGGTGTAACGCGTCTTGCGGGAAAGTCCTGCGTGGGCAAATCCGACGCGCGTTTTCACCATGAGAACTAACAACCGCGGGCATTTTTCTTTTGGCCTACTGGAATGACTGCGGTAAACAGTTCCATGTCCTATTTAGTGATGCTATACGAGGTACTGCATGTTGGTGTTGGAGGCTTTCTGGTCTTCAGCTAATTAAATGGACCTTAAATGGTGTAATCATCATTGCTTGACTTGTTAATATCCTGGAAATGCAATTTGTTATTGTTTTAAAAACTGAGGTCTGCACATTTTCTGCCACAGCAGGAATTCTATTAGCAGGAAGTCTGAGAGCGTCACATTCACAAATGAAATCACTCATTCATTCATAACGATGATTGATGGAGATCTCTATGGTCCTAACTGTGCGACCCTCGATGGGATGGATTAACCATAGACATCAGTCCAACCTCAGGTCTGTGTGTGTGTGTGTGTGTGTGTGTGTGTGTGTGTGCGTCCCTCACCAGACCAGCTGGCGACGCGTGGCTGAACTCGGCGAGGACCCGGGCCTCTCCGAAGGCGTTCAGCAGCACCCACATGACCGGGAAGACCAAGGGCAAGATGGGCAGAACACCCATCAGCTGCAAACACAATCACACAGCCGTACACGTCCCGTTAACATTCGGCTGGTGGCCACACACACACACATTACACATTTAGACGGGTAAACACTCCAGTCTCTCTAAGTCGCACATTCGTAGTCTTGTGTGATTGTACCTGAAGTTGAATGAAATTGTAGCAGGTGGGGGTGAGGCTCGGGGCGTCACAGAAATAGCGAACAGTGTTCACTACCAGGAAAGCCCCCTAAAGGGAGAGAACAAGGTGTGCTACATCACACTCCGGTGGGCTTAGGTGGAGAAGAAGGGATTCCAAACACGTAGCAGAGACTCCAAATTGCTCACCAGGACGACGGGACAGACCAACTTGGTGATGACCAGCTGCACCGTGAAGCGCTCGTTGTCCAGCACGGTGATCGGACGCGCCAACGCCATCTCCAAACTGTTCCTGTCCGTAAAAAAAGACATGTTGGTGTCACCAGCCAGACATCGTCATCGTGTTGCCTTTCCAACCCTGTGTGCGATGATGAGGAGCAGCAGTCATTGCACACAGGCAACGCCGACCGTTGATGATTGCAGACAAATGGCGAGAACTCGGACGTCCTGAGGAGCAAGTTCACACGACTACCTGACTACGTCCAGCACTGGAGTGCGCGCCACCCTGAAGAGGCGGTGCTGCTGCGGGCTCTGCGGTCCCCTCTTCTCGTCGGCCCGCGGGGAGGGATGAGGGGAGAAGGGGGGGAATAAATCCCCCGGCTCCAACTTAATGTGCTTATCATCCTGAGGGGACAGGAAGGGGTTGTGCGGGTCACTGAAGGGCCGTGTGGACACGCAGAGTCATTTCCATGTAAAACAAAGGAGGTGCTGGTGTGAGCTGGGCGACGTTGTCTAGTCTAGTGCAGGAAGTCAGGTTCCAAGTGACTGTGTGATGATGAATACTGCTATCGTGCCTCACGTAAGATCTGCTTTGCTTTAAGTCCTACTCTATCTTGTTTTATAAATTTACTAACAAATAGACGTCTCTCCACACATATAGATGTTCCTACAGAAGTTAAACTAACTAAAAACCTCTGCCAAGTTCATTTATGTTAACTTTCAGCTGTACATTTTGGCGCTGGAGAAGAAGACCTTTGAGTAGCTTTGAACCAGGACTTGTGTGTCAATGTGTCTCCTGCTTGCAAGTATTAGTTACTGATTTTACGTTGAGTAAGAGTTTTTCTAACATGAGACTTGATGTATAGTTTCACACTAGCAATTCAGCAGACACCCACTTCGAAAATCCAATTAACAATTAAATTACAATTAAATTAAAACAATCGTAATAATTGTTTAATTCTGTGATGGTTTTGTTACAGCATTTCACACTTTAGAATCGTGGAATAAATATTTAATCTGTTCGGTGCAGCAACGTAAAACCGTAGCCGCTCGTCCATATCAGGCTGCTTTCAGCTTCATCCCACCCAGTGAGGCCTGTCTGTTCCATTATCACATAACGTCCCGCTGCACTGTGACCTTAGAAGCGTTCCTTTATGTCACGTGTGACTGTGTACCTCTTCAGGCAGTATCAATGCTTACGTGCCGTTTGCCGTTACCAGCGGTGACGCCAGAAGCTCGTTTCAGTGTTCTAGTGGTGAACCGATGATAAAATATCGGCTTTCTGCACCACTTCTGGTATTTGGCACCCAAAAAGAACATAAAGGGCAAATTACTGATACCTTTGGATTGCTTATTTCCCAAGAGATAAGATTTATATTTCATAAATTTCAAAGGTCAGCTCAGTCTAACCAGCCAGGATACGTTGCCGAGATCAGAGCGGATAAGAAAGTCGAATAAGGTGTATTCATAAAAAAAGGTCAATATATCAATATTCAAGTCAAAGAACAAATCGTCACTCAGTAGCTGCACTGGAATCCTTCCTGTTACTCCATCAGAAGTTCCTGCATATTTTACTCAGGTTCAAATTTGGCTTTACGCTGCGTGTGCGTGCGCGTGTGTGTGTGCGTGCGCGTGTGTGTGTGCGTGCGTGTGCGTCTACGCACAGACTGACCTTGATGCCTCGGAGGGAAGCAAATGCCTCCTGTCCAGGTCTCAGAGCGACGACGTCTCCTTCCACCAGCAGGCTGACGGGAAGGTTCACCAGCCGGGAGTCCCGGTAGGTCCAGTGAAGGGACCACGACGTGGACGAGGGCGTGTGGAGATCCGGGTACAGAGACGGAGACCAGCGCACGTCGCCCTCGCAGCCCGACACGTAGTCTGGAGGGACAGACGTGGAAAGGCACCGTGAGACAGGAATTCACTCATTCATAACCTGGGGACTAACATTCATGCACATCCAAAACACATCCCATGTTCGCCAAGAAGTGGAGATAAAAAAATATAAATAAAAAAGAGATAAATGTTACAAAGTTCATGAGAATTAGGTCACATATTTTCCATCACGAACCTAATTGTCTCCCAAAGAATAAAAATACATTTAAAAAAACTGTTCCTCTTAGATAGTTCCCTCATGCGAAAGGATATTCACCATCACCCCGACAACGGAAAATAACAATTACATTTCCACATTGGGCCAGTAGGTTGGGATATTAAATCGTCATTTAAAATCTACATTTTATACATATATAAACTGTATGAATAATATTTGCGGTTCTGCTGGAGGATTCCCCCCCGGTTGACAACAGACACTCGGCACAAGCATTTCCTATACGGCCACATATGAGTTGAAGTAGCGAGGCGCCACAGGTCGACGGGGGATCACGCTGAGCCTGCAGGGTGACGACGGCCGACTCACCGCTGAGCTGTGCGATGATGCCGTTGAGGCGGCGGACCATCTCGCTGCTCTTCAGCCGCTCCTGACGTCTGACCAGCAGCAGGTTGAGCACAAGGAGCAGGAGGAGCGCTGCAGCGCTCAGCAGCTCGATGCCAGAGCTGTGGAGGAACCAAGTGGAACCAAATGAGACAAGCTACAGAGAAACACGCTGCAGCAGGTTCCGCTCACTCAGACACATTTCTGAAGTGCCTTAAAAATGAATTGAATAAAACAAAATAATCCAAATGAATTCCATCCACATTCAAACCAACTACTGGTGTTTGCATTAATCAGTCAGTGTCAGTTAACATATCTAATTGAATGGTTTTGGACAGAAAGAAGAAGTGTCCTTTGCGGGGACTCTGCTATAGACCTTGTTAGAAAAACTAAATAGCCACATTTACACCACGACTCTCTGTGTAGAGCACGCCAGATAGACAGACTCTCTCACACACACACACACACACACACAAAGGATCCCGTGAATCCTTCTTTGAGATGTCAGTTGTAACATAATGTAAAAACAGCTGCTTTCAGCTGCACCCCCCCCACCTCCTCCTCTTCCCTTTGCTCTCCTCTGGAGAGAAACTCCTGAGTAGGAGGAAGACGATGGAGACGTGTCGCCACCTCGCTGAGCCGGGTCCCAGCTCCCGGGTCTAACCGACTTGGCGGTTAATGCTTCAGATGACAAAAGTTGCACTCTTCCAGACCAGTGCGCTCAAGCTGAGAGGGGACAACCTACCTGCCCTTTGGCTGGCTACCGTGGCAACAGACGAGACCCAGCACCACCAGCAGAGTGAGGGCAGCTCCCGGCCAATGGAGACAGGAGTGACGGTTGCCATGGTAAAGGAAGCTATTCACCCACCGTTCCTACGCAGACATCAGCAAAACAATACGCAGCGGGTTACTACGTAAGGCACGGCTGTATTTAAGGACTGGTCGACCAACGGTGTGTCTTTATGATTTCACACAAAGATGTCGTGACAATAAAATGGGGTTGAGGTCTATTAGGTGAAGAGGTGCACTTGGCTACCTGTGCGGCGGCTTGCCTGCGCTCGGGCCTCTGATGGTGCTCCAGCAGGCCGCTGAGCTGGTCCCGCAGCTTGGCCAGAGCCTGGCCGGTGGACAGGCCCAGGGTCGCCGCTTCCTCCTCCTGCAACCACACAGAGACAGCACGTTGCTATTTATTCAAGATTAACCTTTGATTTAATGGTCTTCCAGCCTCTTTTGTCACAAGAGACCCATTTGTGAGATAATTAGTGGAAACAAACACATCAACTTTCACTCGTAAATTCAAAAGTAGTGTGTACTTCTATTTTTCCAACTAGTTGATCGATGATTTTTAAAACTATTATTCCTTTTACACAGTGGTGGTGAAATTATTTATTGTAAATCTAAACTTCGAATGAAATAAAATACAAAAATCTATTTCCACTGCCAGGGCATAAACGATAGATCTAAATTATTGTACAAGAACAATTTACCTATCCCAAACATTGGAGTAAGTTACATTTATGACAGCAGAAATGTATTCATTCTGTCAGGGAGCAGAAAAAACAGTCATCAATCAATGAATAATCTATTTATCCATCAATAATCTATGTTTAGAAGCAGGGAATAAGGACACTGGGATTTACAGTCTGTGAAGTCCATGTTTGTTCTAGATTTCCTTTAAAAGAAGAAAAAAAGGCACTTTCAGTAAGGCAGGTTTTTAATAACTTTGTTTCAAATGGAAAAGGTCCACGTTAGATTGTACTACTTAGTTAATGTGTGCTGCACTGAAGAAGATGTGAAGCGGGAGATTGAGACCATACATTCACGTTTATGTTTACTGAGGTAATAAATCAAGTGAGAAGTAGTCATTGTCCCACAGACAGACGTCTGTAGGACCGGAGGACGTTTGGCTTCCTGCTGCAGAACCAGAGGTTACTAAAACACACAAGAGACAAGAGTGTTTTTCACATTTTACTTCCTTCTCTTAAATGGCCCTAAATATTAAATCAGCAACCAAAATCTCTGTCCATTACTTTTCTGACGATTGACTGAATGATTAATGGCGTGACATCGACGTTCCTTGCAATCCTTTTTTCGTTGAGTTAAGTTATATAACAGAAAAAGGGGAAACTGAGCCCCAGCTGATGTTGGTGGGAAAGCGTTCAGGCTCTGCATCCACAGGCCAGCTATAAATACCGCTCCATTTCCCCAGAGCAACAAAGCCTGCAGACGTCAGCCCGCAGACACCGGAGCAGCCTGAGAGAAGAGGCGGGCGGCGCGGGAGGACACGGATTAACGGCCGGCCAGAGCTGCAGTGCGTCTCAACCACAGTCACCACGACAAGTAACGCTGCGGGAAAGAGAAGCTCAAAGAAGCTCGTCTCTTCTTCCTGGACTTTTTTTATGAGACGTGATCCCGAAGTAATTTAACCAAAATTCCACGAACCTCGAGACGAGACAAACTAGAAGCGCAAAAAGATGCCTCTTCTGCTGGGTTTTCTTGTGTCATGCATTCCTCAGTGACATAAATGAGGCAGACCGAAACTAAGGAACACATGAAGAATTCAACACAAACAGCAGCCAAGTTCAGACATGAACTAAAATACATGAATGCAACAAGGGTTCATTTCAGGGACCTGGACAACTCACACAAACAAACTAGAATAAGTCAATTTGACATTTGAGGAGCTGGATCGTATTGACAATCAGTACAGAATGGTTGAAAATCAATTACTAATTGGCTACAACGGATTATGTTGCCCAACAGAAAACATTGTGCTGACTGCGTCTGTAAACGATTGGTGAGAGTTTAAACAATGTAAATTGCTTAAACGGTGAAATATTTCACAGTAATGAACCACAAGGCCCCGACAAGTCAATGACTCTACTGTAACTAACACATTCAAAGTATTACTTATCAACACGCCTGAAGTCATAAAACCAAATGTGCACCGAATCAACATCCAACGCAAAAAGTGAACAGGGACCCGCGCGCTTCCCTCATGCTTCCCTCATGCTTCCCTCATGCTTCCTTCATGCTTCCCTCATGCTTCCCTCATGCTTCCCTCATGCTTCCCTCATGCTTCCTTCATGCTTCCCTCATGCTTCCTTCATGCTTCCCTCATGCTTCCCTCATGCTTCCCTCATGCTTCCTTCATGCTTCCCTCATGCTTCCCTCATGCTTCCCTCATGCTTCCCTCATGCTTCCCTCATGCTTCCTTCATGCTTCCTTCATGCTTCCTTCATGCTTCCCTCATGCTTCCCTCATGCTTCCCTCATGCTTCCCTCATGCTTCCTTCATGCTTCCCTCATGCTTCCCTCATGCTTCCTTCATGCTTCCTTCATGCTTCCTTCATGCTTCCCTCATGCTTCCCTCATGCTTCCCTCATGCTTCGCCTGTGCTGGCATGAGCTGATGATTAAAGAAAGGGAACGCAACCCACGGGCGGGAAGGCAGCAGATTTGTTTGAGCCCCTTGAGCAACGGCTCAGCAGCAGCATTTCCGCTCCCACGCAGCAGCGAAATGCATGTATGTTTGACTACAGAGGGTTGATCATTTCACCTCGGTTTAACCAGCACATCCGGAGGGACGATCGTGGACAACCAGAGTGAGGTTGTACGTCACAAGGTGGAACTAAATAAAAAATAAAACCAGAATCACTGGCTCTTGGTTGTGTGTGGAGTTCCACACACTTTTATTTACCACCAACATCCAGTGAGTCCATCCGGCCCAAAAGCATCGTATTCACAAGAATGAGACGTAGCTCAGTGAGGCTGTTAAATTCCATCAATTGGCGTCGTTCCCGAGCTACTTGAATGGAAATGTAATCAGAAGTCTATTGGGGCCTTTCAGCCATATCTCTGTTAACGCATCAGCTTTACGGAGATAAAGCCGATGCTTCTCCCTGAGGTGAACGCACGAACCACACGACCCTTTGGAAAGTGATAATCAAAAGTTATTTTCATGGGCTTAGTTGGGGGTTTGCTGTCTTGTCTTGATTTAAGAGTTAGGTAAGGGGGGAAGCAGGATCTGCCAAGCAGGCAGACACGAGTCTGACAGGATGGGGAGTCAGTTTGTGTCCTGGCTGAGGAATCTAAGGTCTGCGGGTCAACTAGAAGATTTACCAGCCAAAGGGGGGTTAGAGACACACCAACACTATTCAACATACACACTCTGTTTACGATGTTTACGTTAAGTCAGGAGTCTGGACATTGGATGTGACCGGATCTTAGATGCGGGAGGTGGAAGGTCCTCCTCTACGCCAGTTTAGGGCCAATAGAAATATTTCCTTCTCTGTCTTTCAAGGGTTATAAAACATGATGTTCTTGCTGATGTTAGTTAGTTGTTCTTCCGGCCTGTGTGCTGCCTGAACTGCTCCTGCCTTTGCAAACGCAGCGCTGATACTTGACCTGTGATCCGACAAATAAATCTCCCAGAACCAGAGAAGTCGTTCGGCTGAATTTTTGATAACCCCGACCAGGCTCCAAATCTTGAACACGTATTCTTACAATTGCTTGAACCTCTGCGGGAAAACACTGCAGCGCCGCTAAGCAGTCCCCTCAGGGCTCGGTCCCAGGGGCCCCATCTCCCCAGTAAACAGCTCTCCACCCCAGGGGGGACACTTAAACGGCGCGGCCTGGTGCCCGAACCAAGCGACTGAAACTCACCCGCTTCTTATCCTGCAGCTCCATGGCGACCGCAGCCACTCAACATGCTCTGCTCCTCAACCAGCCAACGGCACCCGGCGCAGCCCGGCGGCCGCCGCTCCGCGGTGTCCGAATCCGGAGGCCACAGCGCTGGGGGCCCGCGTGCGGATCCCTCTCAGCCCGCTGCCAGCGGAGGCTGCAGGCGGAGTGGCTCGGGTTGGCAGTGGAGGAAGATGGAGGGGGGAGGCGGGCGGGTGCGGCCTCGGTCCTCCGCCTGGCAACACCTCCTGCCCTGCCTCCTCTGCCAGTGTGACAGGGGGCCACACCTGCAGGGACCAGCGGGGGTGGAGGGGTCGGCGCTGGATCAGTGGTTACTTCTCGGAGGATTAATTGTAGCTCAGGTGCAGCGCGGGGATCCTCTTCGCCACATTCATTTAGAGGTCTGTGGATAAATGACAAATAGCCAGGATCTATGAAACAAGCAGTTCTAACAAGGAATCACACGGCACACGATTCAAACAGTGGGCCGTAGAACAACATGCATGGACAAGCGCCTCAGTTGGCTCACACTCTGTGACATTGTGTGGTGCCGGTCCATATGACAGCGTGACAGATCTATTGAAAAGCAGACCAAGCCCCCCCATCCCATCCCATCCCGACCCCGTCCCACCCCGACCCCCATACAAGCAGCTTCCTCTGCACAACTAATCTCCAGAGTCAGCGGTCTGCTTCTGGCAAAGAGTGGACACAGCTCAGCCAAAACACGAGAGGCTTTATTGACTATTCTTACTGTCCGAGTAACATTAAACCCCCCAAACAGACCGGCCGAGGCCCCCGATCCGAGCCGAGCCGAGCCGAGCCGAGCGAGTCCACCTGACACCGAAGCGCTGTTTGCATCTGTGACCACAGATGAACGCGCAGAGATGACAATGCTCCTCAGTGAGTTCCTCGTCAACTTGAAACGATTAGCTGACGTCACACAGGTGGTTATGATGGACATTTTACAGGTACGAGCAGCCACTGAGGACGAAGCGTTAACTGACGGCAAAGACCCACAATGACGGCTCGTGCTGCCCGGTGTAAAGTCCTAAACGTTACGACACGTTAGTTTCGGAAAGAACCCGGCGGCGCTAAAAGGAGCCATGGGTGAAGGAGTTGGTTTTAACGGCAGACCTGCGACGTCCTCGTCCCCGGGTGTCAAAGGCATTTGCTAACAAACAAGAGGCTCCGAGCTGAGCCGACGCACGCTGTTGCGATAGTCTCTACGACCACATAGATCGTCGGTGTGAAGTATTAGTCTGCACACTCACCTCCGGACTTTCCAGGTCTTTATTGATATATATTTTTAAAATATGTCTTTCTCTCAAATGCACTCCTGAGCCGTCAGTGCACAGCAGCAGCCATGTTGGGGAGACTTCCTCCGTTAGCGGGGAATAGTGCGTTGTGATTGGACGGTGTAACGGCTCTCTGTCTTCGTGATAGGTCAGGACCATAGTGGGCGGGGCTATATGGCCTGAGATTGTTTATGGTTCTATTTTGAAATAGGAAACCTAAAACCTTTACTCAGGAGGGGTAATGCAATTTTGTGACCCTTAAAGTAATCATAATATTAAGTTGATATATTGATATAAAAAATAACGCTATGATGATGTGAAAAATATGTGTAATTGTTCTAACTAAAACTACTACAAATCCTAATTCGTTCCGTGTTCCGCTCCAGGGAGTAAACGCAACGCTTTTCACATCCGGTTACTCCGTAGCTGTGATACTAATACTGTGTAATACTTCCCTAGCATCTTAATGCTAGGGAAGTATTTCCTGTTCAACTTATGTGTTCATATAAATGTCCTATTTGACCAATGGAACAATTCAAGAAGAACCGAGATGATTTATGACAATTGTTTGGAAATTGTTTTATTTTCCAGAGTACTTTTACACAATTCTATTGCTGTTTTACTGAAGTAGTGTGTTAATACATCAGCAGCATAATCATCTACTCATTAACAGTAAGTTAAAATGGGTCTTTAATATGTCCTTAGCAAACTAGAGAAAGTACTCTGTGATGCTCTTGAGACTCACAATAAGGAAATATCTGAATAACAAACTACACATACAGTATTTAAATCTTGCAAAAGAAATTAGTAGGGAAATACTACTACTAATATAACAATGTGTGACAGAAATATGTATGCCCTTCATTCAATGCAATGAAGGGGAACATTAGAAAAAATATTTGTTTCTTTTTCTGGGTCCACATGACATACATCAACTCCACATATATGAAGTAGCCATTATGCAACAAGCACGTTACATATATTCACTAGTAAGAGTCGCAAGAAAATAACCCATATAATAAACATATACTCAAGTGATACATCACCTCTCAAAGGTGTATGGAAGAAAATCCTTGTGGTTGCTGTAGATCTGAATATTATTAAAAGTTGTAGCTGCAAATGGTTTATGAAAAATGCAAACCCATTAAGCCTTATTAGGAAATAGAGTCCCACATCTTCCTGCTCTCCTGTGCCCTTCAGGCTGCAGCCTCCCTGCTGATGTAAACGTTGAGGTCTGGTTGCCCGGCTGCCTCCGCAGTGTAACTTCACCCACTCGTGTAAATCAATACCTGTCGGCCCACCGGGTCTTCGTCTGATTTCCAATTCCCCAAAGATGAGCATTCATCATGGGGGGGTTTCATACCAGGCCTGTTTGTTGGATCCGATGAAAGAAAAACATTTATAATTGGTGTATATTTGGAAAGATGCTCTATTTAATGTGAAGTTCTCTCTGCGTCTTTGAACAGGATACATTAAAAGCATAGAGTCAAGTTTAGCCAAATGCAACATTAACTGTGTGTTGAGAGAATATGGTTCAGTTTTCATACACCTATATGTCTTCACGGTACCAAATTCCTAAAAGTGAATATCTAAGTTTAACACAAAGATAAAGAATCGTGTCAATTTGAATCATCACAGGGTTTCGTTTTCAATGACATCATTTTGAATGACATTCATGTGTCACCGCTGGAACAAAAACTTTAAGACATAAAACCCTCTTTTTGACGGCAATTCTGTTTTACGGATTCCACTTCCCATGGTGAACACCGATGACTAAGAGGTCAGAAGGGTTTGGTTGGTGCCTGCTGGAATGCGATTCTGAGCGACCCACACTTGAATTTGAATTACTAAACTGCAATGAGCCCATGGAAATACCTCATGTGGGGTCAGCAGATTTAAAGGAGAAGCTCTGTTTTTTTCACCATCGAGGTTTTCATGTGTTGCTGTAATGTGTGTTAGCGGAGTTTGTGTTAATCGCAGCCACAGCAACAGACTGAAAAGCATAAAACAAAGCAAACGGTAGGGATAAACTCAGTGATGCTAATGTACAGTACTAGTGATGAGATTCAGATAGTCAAGGCATAACAAGTACAAAAAGGTCTCTAAACTACAACATGCGGATGAAGAGTCTTGAGACAGGAAGGATTCAATAGCATCACAAAGGGTTGTTTTTATTTCATACATCAAATGACCTTTTGTAATCATCATTATGTTAGTGTACTTTATTCAGGAGGCTCTGTTGCTTTGGCCCAGACGTCGTGGGAACCTGAAACCAGAGGGAACATGAAGTTGTGCGGACCGACAGGTAAAAGTTCTGATAAATAAATAAATAAAACGGGGAACCTCTTAAAAAGTGGCTCTTGGTTGGTTGCAGGTGTTTGATCCCCATCAGACGAAATGCAAAAAAATTCTGCACAAAGGCTGAAACGGCTTGCAGCCCGTTAAACTGCTTAAAGTGTTAATAGCGGAGGAATGTTGAGTCTGAGGCCAGAACGACGTTCAAGTCAGAGAAGCTCATAAGCACCTGCCCTGAAAAGGTCTCACGGGAAATGATTTATTCTTTTGGAAGCCTCCTTGAGAGAAAATATATTTAATACAAAATAAAACAAAATATATAGATTGAATCAACACTTTTCTTTAATGCTGCACTTGCTTTACATTACATTGTCACAACATAAAACTTCCAATAATGATCAACGAATGCTTAGTTTAAAAAAAAATTCCATCATTGGATTTCAACTCGCAAAAATAATCATTTTTAAGGCATTGGGTTGATTCATACAACAGTTGGTGATTGACTCAAATCCCTGCTGACCCGATCAGAGCCGCGTCTCCTCGATGATTTCATCAAAAGCTTTGATCCAGTAAATGACACACTGCCCATCAAGTTACACGGGAAAAAACGAAACTAACAAAAAACGGTCACTGAAAGTCACTGATTAACAACAATTCCCAATATTGTGAGTGTGTGTGTGTGTGTTTGTGCGTCAACCAGAGGTGTGAAATGGAGCTGCTGACAGACGGTCAGACCAGCTATTCCATCATCAGAGCGAGGATGTGGCAAAACTCCTTCGCCTGCAAGAGAGACCAGCACCATGATCACTAACAGGTGACATGTTTGATGAAAGGCATTTAGTTTGTTTAGTGCCGCCGCAGCCCGACGTCGTACCTGTTTGAGATGAACGGTGAGTTTTTTGGCTCGGCCCTGGCTGTAATGGATTTCCACAGAGGGCGCTTTGCCTTGTTTCTTGGGGCGGACTGTGCGCATGGACCGCACATCAGCCAGAGGAATCAGAAACGCTCTCTCCTGCAGAGAAGAAACAAGCTTCTGTTAGACGGCCTCCGTTGGTTTCGTGCTCACTTCAATCAGCAGACATCGGAGCCCCAACATGAAAACACCGGGTATCTCCGACTAAGAAAAGAAAGACTGAAATCCCTGAAAAGGGAACCAAAGGGCTTTTTCGGAAGCAGGATTCAGCAGAGACTGGAACAATAGCCCAAAACTGGATCGGATCAGATATACACCTTTGACCCTGATACAACCATAACTGTTCTAATTCACTGCCACGGCAGCTGGAAGTACCTGTGTTTTGGGGTGGAGGAACAGCACTCCCTCCTGGCCGATGGTGACCATGCACGGGGAGGGGCAGCCACGCTGACTGACCTTCTGGGCCAGGAAGGAGTTGGAGCCAAACTGAGGCATGGTGCACAGCATCTCTGAAAGACGGAGGATTCATCAAGGAAGAAGAGGAAGAACAGGGAGAACTCAAGAGTAACAGAAAAGAGACGCGAAGAAGAAAAGATCAATAAAGTAGAATAGAGAAAAGATGAATTAAGGTGGGAAGAGAGAAGAATAGGGGGGCAAGCAAAGACAAAGAACCGGGAGGAGGGAGGTAGAAGAAGTGACATTCATGTTTGAACTGTACGGGGTCTCTTTTAAATAAAGTAAAATGGAGGGGAAGCTACCCACCAATGAATTGTATTTTGGCGTCTTGAGGGCTGAGCGAGTGCATGGCGGCTATCTGCCCCAGGCAGAAGGAGTGGATCTCTTCAGCGTTGCTGCTGAGTCCATCCTGTGGCGGCAGGTACTCCTTCATCTCTGGCCTGATAGACAAGCAGCAGTTACAACACTTTCAAACAACATCAACAAATCCCCTTGTGTGGAACAAGGGGATTTGTCATACGCGAAACAAAAAAGCTTCAATACCGACTAATACACATGGCTGTAAAACGTGAGATGGACTTAATAAACAAACAATAAACTCAAGTTGAACAATGGATTAATTAAGGAGTGGAGTCATTATCTTAAAAACCTCAGGACAATCTAACTGGTTTTTACAACCAGAGGAGACAATTCTGCGTTGGCTTCACTCGGCAGAAGCGGAGGCTGCCGCCTGGATGGATAGATGCCTTTAGATAGCCGTGACTCACAGCGAGGGCTGGTCCCTCAGTCCTCGGGCCAGATGCTGCAGGGCTGACAGCTCTGCTATCTGCTGGACCGACGAGGGGCCCCTCGCAGCGGGAGCAACCATCAGCCGCCCGCTGAGGTAGTCGACCAGGAGCTGCACGAACACAGAGGCCGCGTGGAAAGCAATGAGCTGGACCCTGAACCAGGCTACTACCACTTCTCCTGCAGGTGGTTGGACTGCTGCGGTCACCTGCTGGTAGTGGAACTCCACGTAGAGGTCACTGTTGTAGGACAGCGGGCTCCTCCACATCAGTCGTCTCAGGGAGAAGAAGACGGAGCCGTCGTCCAGCAGGAAGTCAAATAGATACTCCTCGGCTTGGAGGGGACGCAACATCTCGCCTGACAGGAGGAGAAGCACGCTGACCCGTCAATCGGACGCTTTGTATCATTTGGACTCGCATCTGACGTGTCATGGACGCCTGGGCCGACCGGCGCTATCCATGGTGCTGGAGGCGTGGATTTAATATTGACAGGATGAAAAGCATTTAGCCTTATTTATTTCAAGGGGGGGGGGGGGGGGAGATCAGGTCCCCTCTGCTATTTATATAATACATGTTATTGTGTAGTAACATGTAGTAAATTGGGACTACAATCTAAATTTCTCGCCATAAACCGGTCACGGTACGACCAATAGAAAGCGTGTAAGCTTGTGTGTGCAAGAGAAAGGATAAGACACAAAAAAATAAAATTACAATATTGGAAAGAAAGTTAAGTTCAAGTTCCAAAATTGTTAAATGACAGTTCAGAAATATTTTGTAATGCACCTCTAACCTGTCATCACCTGTGTTGTCCCACTGCGGTCAGTGATTGGTTTTTTCTTTATTAAAATGTTTCAGAAAAAGATTCGTAGCTCAAACATGAGATGGTTGAGTCTCCCCTGCAGCCTAAACGCTGAAATCAGGTCTCGAGTGTGTGAGTCAGTTCGTTCACGGCAAACAGGAAGAAAAGCAACAGGTGGTGACGTGCGTCCTGCCTGACCGTACGGACATCACAAGGGGACATATGCAGACGGCTCGCTCCTTACGTCATTCAGTCATTCATGTCAGCGGGGAAAGACAAGAAACGGCGGTGTGGAAAAGCCAAAGCAAAAAAAAAAAAATAGAAATATGGAAATAATTTGCAAATATTCTGTCAAACTAAATACTTAAATAATTTTGAAGGTTCTGTCTGTATTTGCTCATATTTCCCAAAGGATTAGACCTCATGATATTAAACATGTAACATTTAATAAATGATATAATCTGGTATTTATATATTCCGGTATAGTGGTATCGGTGAGGACCAAAAAGGTATCGGAACATCTCAATACATAAAATACATGTCATTTGGGTGGCCTGTCCCTTTAAATCATATGAGAGTTAAAAAAACATTATTTTTATTATCATTTATTTCTAGAAGCTTCAGAGTTGTACTTTTGTCAGAGCAGAAAAAGGGGCACTGCTCGTACCTGTAAAGCAAACCTCTTGTACACAACAAGCTGGGAAATAGAAACTGTGCTTTCTATTCTGGATCTCAAGAAACGGCACAAGTCGGATTTACCCTGATTCTCGTTGGCGAGGATGGAGAACTCTCTGATTTCTGTGGGGTTTGTGATGCTCATCTCTTTACAGAACTCTGTGAGCACTTCCACTGCCATCTGGAAGAAAGAACCAAAGTGTGTTCAAATCAATCTCACACTGAAGCTATTCACACTCACGCACATGAGTTAGAACCAAAAGAGACCAGACATAAGGAAATGAACGGCAGCATTTTACAGATAACTTTATAAAACACAGGCGGGTCATTGTTTGATTTCTTGAAATGACAAAAAGTAGCATAAAAGAATTATTTGCCTCGAGGTAGTGGAGGATTGGCCCTTTCAAATAGGGAGACATATAACATAGCATTTGGAATTTGGAGCTACAGCGTTGAGCTCCCGGCTGCCCCATGTCTCAAGCCGAAGTGTCCCTGAGCAAGACACCCAACCCCTGATTGCTCCCCGGGCAAAATGTGAAACCGCCACGGGTAATGAAAGTCGCTTTGGATAAAAGCGTCAGCTAACTGACCTGTAATGTGATGTAATGTAAAAAATGAACGGGCCCCATCTTGGGTTATGGATTTCTCTCAAAAACATGTAGAACATGCAAAATTCATGCATGTTATCAAGGATGTCTATGGGGACATCTTGGTTAGAGGACCTTAAAGAAGGATTTAACCTAAAGCAGAAGGGGTAGTACGAGATAGTATTCAAGTTGAGGAGCAGTATTTGGATTCTATAATCATAATTTCCGATATCCTCTCTAGAAGGTCAAAGGGACGAGATTATGGAAGATGTGCTGCAGGGCATCATAATAAATGCATCCCGGGCTGCGGATATGCAACAAGGCAGTCCATCCATTCCAGACTGGGAGAATGGGCTTGATGTCTTACGCTGAAGCTGCGTATCCTGATGGGGAAATCCACTCCTCCTGGGAGCTGAACGGGAATCCGTCGAGACGTTTTGCCAGCCTGCAATAACCCAAGAGACACTTAGAAACAAAACGCGCGACAGCTGGAAGACGCCTGTGTGAGTGTGTGGGTCAACTCGCCAGAATGGCCTCCATCTCCACGCTGGAGGGGACGTTGCGGCGGCCCCCGAAGCTGAGAGACCGCTGCAGGTTATCCTGGCACACGCTCGCCAGCTCTGAGGACACGCGTGCGCATTGAAAGAGAGCGGACGTACTTGTGTTAACTCTACGGGGGCTTTGTGTGGGGCGGCGTAGGCCCTGTGGTGTGCGGTTCTCCCACCTTGGTACGGGTGCTCGTAGTCCTGAGAGATGTCGCGTAGGTGGTGCGAGACAAACGGCTGCAGAGTGTCGGAGCAGGGGAAGAAGCCGGTAATGAGGTTGAAGAGCCGCCAGCCGAGGGTGCAGATGGACCTGTGAAGACGCCACAAAGGACAAACAAACAATCTCAGCATTCCAATCAAACCTTAAATGCTAATTAACTGCAGGGAAATAATTCTGGACGAAGTGGCCGGTTACTTCTTTTTATGCTCTATTTTTAAAGTTCCAAGACAGACAACAAAGACACATAATGACCCAACAATCAAGCCACAACCTGTCAATCACACGGAAGCCCCGCCCCAAAGAATTCCCTGCTTTATGGTCTATAAATGGACAATCAGTTGCCGAATGAGCATCATGCTCTATTCATGAAGCCTCGAAACTGGAGATTAAGAATTAAAAACTCATGTTTGGGAGGAAAACACAATTGTCCTTCGTTTAAACGATCGGCGGTTTGATTCCACGTGCTGTTAATCTGCATGTCGGTGTGTATTCAGGAAGAAGCTTGACCCCAAACTGCTCCTGTAGCTGTAGCAGCAGTGTGTGAAGGTATGAATGTTTCTGATGGGCAGGTGGCAGTGTGTGTGTGTGTGTGTGTGTGGATGTGTGTGGCCTCCTGTCAGCAGTGCATGAATGGGTGAATGACATGTAGAGCTTCCAGTGGTCGGAATGCCAGAAAAGAGATTTGGTCCATTTACCATGTTAACCAAGTTAACTGTAAAATGCTGTAAAACAAGGTGCCACAAATATACACGTGGTTGTACCTTTTATTGTGAACCAGAAGCTGTCAAACCGTAAATGAAGAGCGTAATAGCGCCTAATATAAAAGTATGCTTTGAGAATGTCAAAAATACTCACTTAGTCGGGTTGTTGGTGGTTTGCTTGATGATCTGGCAGTAAATCTCATCTCTCAGAAGCTCCTTTTCCTTCCCCAACTGAACAGATGAGATCAATTCTTCCTTAAATCCCAAAGAGTCACATGGAAACTACAGAAATCACGGCGCTTGAACGAGCACTGACCAGTAAAATGTGGCTCAAGCAGTCTGTCTGGGTGTTATTCCTCGTCATTGGCATGTCACCCATGAACTGCATCACGTCTGGAGGGACAGAGGGACGGGAGAAGGAGTGGGGGGATGAACAGAGGTGGTCTCAGTGTGCATCTGCATGCTTCGTGTAGACGGACTCACTGAAGAAGCACCCGACAGACAAGCTGTTGATTTCAGGATCGTTGTAGAGAATGAGGGACTCGCGTATGGGAACCTGGATGGACGGAACCAACGCAGTCAGTGGTGATGGACGCAGTGACACATAATTCATTACTGGCTAAGGGTCAAATGTAAGTCAGGTAAAGACAGAATCCTGTGAATAACATAACGAAAAGCAGTGCAGTTATTGTGGTATGAGCAGGTCTAACGTCCCATGCTGTGGTTGAAGGGCATTATTTCCTTCACCCGTGATAACCAGGATTTTTGACAGCTTGTATAAACAGTAGGACTGTTGTGTGAGGACGCAGATGTGTCCATGTACAATAACTGTAGTACGCGCAAGTAACAACCACAACAGATGTTAGGATTACTTACTTCTGTGTGTTGCACGGCCTCTGCAAAATTCCTTCCACTTTCTGGCAGGCCTGTATTCCCCACTCTGAACAATGAACAAATAATAACAGCAAAAAATGAGCCACACACACATATCGTGAACCCAAACAAACGCAGTCAACGAGTCATCATACCGGAAATACTTCATGGCAAACTCCGCCATGCCCGAGGAGTTCTCCGGCTGCGAGCCCTGGATCGAGACGGACGCCTCTTGACCGAGCAGTTCTGAATCCACGCTGCCCACGCGCCCGCCTGCAGGCCTGGCGCCCCTTGTGCTTTTCCTCCGGACATCTCTTCGGGCCAGGTGAAGACTGTGGTAGTCTGGGGCCGCCGAGGGCTGAGTGAGGTCACAGGGGAAAAGACCAGAGCGCCCCCCCATGGTGCCGAAACGCCAGCCTAGTGGGAACACAGAACAAGACATTCATGGATGAGAGGGAGATACGCATTAAACAATGAGCATATCTGAAACCTAAAGCCTGCTGGCATCTCACCTGTCTGGAGCCCTTCCATTGGCAGCAGTTTGATGACGTCACCCTTGCTAAAGCTAAGCAGACTTTTGTCATCCGTCACATAACTTGTCAGGGCAACGACATGGCCCGAGTCCTAGAGGGCGAGAATGTGAGTTTGATATGTGGGTCACACGGCCAAAGGATGCAAAGCTGAAAGATAATACGAATGGTGATGATTTTAGACTCAAGGAGTCTAAAGGCTAATAACACTAAACATGTACCCTGAGGAGCTCCTGGAGGAAGAGCCTGATCATGGCAGTGATCTGAGGGGCTCTGGATGACTGCATCACCAACGTTTCTCTCGTCAGCTCCAGTTTCACTTTGTCTGCACCCTGGAGGTCAACTGACAGCAACTCTGAAAAACTATCAACATGCAGGAAACATGCGCTGAATGTGATGACGTCAGATAGAAGGGCTGTGTAAGCTTCTGGTGATCTTTTCAAATGAAGCTTTTAAAGACATCATGGTGCTGTTAGATTGACCCGTTATTAGTTACGTGCCTCCCTTTGAGTGCATTAAGCACGAGAGCAAACCGCTGTTGACCACAGTGAAAATGTTCAAGTTACTGAAGAGCCTGCTAGTCAGAGGTCTTTTAATCTGATTTAAGACCGGCCAAATATTTAGCATTACTTCCTGTATTTGACATTTGGGTTGAACCTTCTGACTTCCTGTCTGACTTCCTGTCTGACAGGAAGCAGCACGTGAAGCTGGGGAAACATGTCTCAGCCTCTCGGACCATCAGCACCGGTTCCCCCCAAGGCTGCGTTCTTTCCCCTCTGCTCTTCTCCCTGTACACCAACAGCTGCACCTCCAGTCACCAGTCCGTCAAGCTCCTGAAGTTTGCGGATGACACCACCCTCATTGGACTGATCTCTGGTGGGGACGAGTCCGCCTACAGGTGGGAGTCTGACCATCTGGTGTCGTGGTGCAGTCAGAACAACCTGGAGCTCAACGCTCTGAAGACAGTGGAGATGGTTGTGGATTTCAGGAGGAACAGAGCCCCACCCTCCCCCATCACCCTGTGTGACTCCCCCGTCACTATTGTGGATTCCTTCCATTTCCTGGGCTCCATCATCACCCAGGACCTCAAGTGGGAGCTGAACATCAGCTCCATCACCAAGAAGGCTCAGCAGAGGTTGTTCTTCCTGAGGCAGCTGAAGAAACTCAACCTGCCAAAGACGATGATGGTGCACTTCTACACGGCCATCATGGAGTCCATCCTCTGCTCCTCCATCACCGTCTGGTACGCTGCAGCCACAGCCAAGGACAAGGGCAGGCTGCAGCGTGTCCTCCGCTCTGAGCCGGTCCCCCACTGACTGACTATAACATTCCACCGGTCACTCCCCTTCACACTGCACATGTCACTTTAACTGTCATTTTTCACTTTGTCGTCACTTGTCACTTTGTTACTTGTTCAATAGTGCACTTTATGCTTAATATTTTTAAACTTTTTAATATTTTTAACCTCATTCTCTTGTTTTATACTAACCCATAGCCTTATTCTACTAACCCATTGCATTAGCATTTCATTTTATTTTATTACTTGTGCACTGCTATCTTGTTGTCTATTGTTACACTGTCTACTGTCATGCACCAACCGCCAAGACAAATTCCTTGTATGTTTGACATATTTTGGCAATAAATGTTTCCTGATTCCTGAAGTGAAACACAGATGAAACCGGCGGGTTGCACTTTTACCTGTAGTATGTGAGCAGTCGCAGGTGTTTGGGGTTGATGCCTGACGCTCCGACCATCTTCAGGAGACGAATGCCCCGATGGGACACGCCTAAAAGCTCACTGTCCCCACTGAACGACTTCAACAGACACAAAGAGAGGACAGTGGTCAACAGGCAGCTGTCTAGCAACTGCTAATGCTTGAAACAAGACTCTACTTGTCTAGCAATTTATTACCTCAGTAAATATGTAGTCTAATAATAATAATTGCACATGCCGTTAAATAGACATGTTACGCTCAACAATCTTGGTAAAAAACAAGGTAACATAAACCCAGTGTATCCCCCAAGAAGCCGGTCCACTGGTAGAACTTCCATTTAGAACCAACTGGGGTGAAGCTGCTTTTAGCTGCGATGCTGCACACAGATGAAACTAACTTCCTGATAATCCTCAACAATTCTGGAAAAACGCTCCCTTCCTCTACCATCAATTGTTTGGCGTCATCTACTCAACTTCTATGTCCCCCTGCGTACTCCATCCAATCCTCACATGTCGCTTGCATTGTCAAAGCACAAAGCGGCTCGATGATGCTTCAGACTCCACGTTATCTCTTTTTCATGATCACCTTCACAGGGAACAGACGGATGAAGTAGTTCTCCCAGTTGTCTCGAGCAGCAATGACGATCCTCTTCTTCATGACCTCATTCTGGATAGTGCTTATAGTCATTCCCACGCTGAAATTTGCTAGAGTTCCAATGGGAAATAAGAAAACTGGCTATTAGTCAGCCAACCGATGGAGAATCAACGAATGAATGAGGATCTGTCCAACACTCACCCAGCAGGTCCTTCATCTTCCTCCTCTCCTCTTTGCTGATCCTCACACAGCTGTCAGAGTAGGTGTCCCTCATAATCTGAAACAAATCACACATCAGGATTGGGATTGTATCAAATTGTATGTCAACTAAATAAATATGAATCTAGTGTATCCGTGTACATGTAAATATACTAACCTGTTCACACAACAGATTGAGGATGTAGGGCCGGTCGAACATCTCTTTGGGGTAAAACACCTGCACACAAACAAAGAACATTTACAGATTCCCACCGCTGTGTAGTGAGATGTGTCAATCGGTGTGTTTTGGGTCATCCAGAACCATTGTTGTGAAGTAGGTATCAAGGGTTGTGTTGATGACACACAGTATGTGGTGACAGCAAAATAAGCCTTTTTTGGTGTCGGGACCACCTGAGGAATACAAGTCTAAGATTTTCCCTTCTTTAAGCTGCTAAATATAAACTGTGTAGCTGTAATTATCTGTGGTTTCGTCACTATGAGGGACACCTGAAACATTGCAAAGTAATTGGATCTATTGTGAATATAACAGGGAATGTTGCGAGTTGTGTACTTGTGTCTTACTTCTTTTCGGAGGAACAGTTTTCCTGGCATTTTTGAGTAAGAGAAGTAAACCCCAGCAGAGAAGCGGTGGAGCTGAGAGGGAATACCATCCTCATCCTGCATCACGTCTGCAGTTAATACACAGCAGATGGAGGTCAGTGACAGACATTCACTCCCCTGACATTCACTTACATTGGGTTGTACACACAGGGGGCCACACTCACCGAGAGACGGGGCCGCCATGGGCGGTGGGTCAGGGATGCCCTGAAAGACGGGCGGCGGGGACGGGGGAGGAGGCGGGGCGGCGGGCGGAGGCTGCTGGGAGCGCTGCGAGCCGAACAGGTCCCCCAGGGAGCGCTGTTTCTGCTTCATGTTGCTGGAGAGGACGCGGGGTCCCTTGGTGGAGGGAGGAGAAGACTTGCGCTCGACTGGCGGAGGCACCCACTGTTTCTGCGAGCATTTAGAGGTGGAAGGTGTGAGGACGTAGCATACCGTATGATTCCGGGCGGAGATACTCAGAGGTAGAAGAGGAAAGCTAAGCTGACCTTTTGTTGTTGCGCTGGTGACATGTTTTTGAGTTTGGCCAGAGCTTCCTCTTTGGGGTCATTCTTCTTTATGAAATGCCGCGGAGCAGGTCTGTGAAAAGGATGAAGAACAGTACATTGAGTTATTCTTTTCGGAGGAGTCGCCCCCTGATGGTCACTAAAGAGAATAAAAGACACTTTCACGGTGTCGGCTTTACTCGGTAGGACAGTTGGTGGCCGCCTGGTCCGAGCAGGAGCCAGCAGATTGTGTGTGGACCTCATGCAGGCGCAGCGTTGAAACTAACCTCACAGGCTCAAAGGGTTTGGCTTCTTGTTGGGGGCGGCTGTTGTACATTTTGATGATTTCCCGGATCTTGGAGGTTGGTTCCGGCGTGTTCTTAGTGGGAGTAGACGTGCTGCTGGTGGGGGTTGTCAGTGCTGCTGGTGGGGGTTCTTCAACTCTGGCAGGAGGGGTGTGGAGACTCTTCACTGTCATGAGAGACAGAAAGTACATAACAAGCTGCTCCTTTTCCTCTCAGGCCACTGAATTGAGATCTACAAACTACACAAGTACAGCTCTCGGGAAGTGAAGAAATATTTTCTAAATATTTCTAGGCCATGGAAGCTGTTTCATCTTCTCACCCGGGGGCTTAGTTGCTGTTTGGGGGGGCGACTTAGGTGGCGATGGAGGGGAGCGTTCCTGCTGTGGGCTGGAGGGGGCTGGACGAGAACGTGGGGCTTTGGATTCACCTTGGGGGGGACAGTAGTGCAGCGAGATGGTGAATAACAAAACGCATGGCTTAAACTCATTATACCATAAGCACAGTGATTTATATTGGGTTCACGTTTTAACATCTTTGATCGATTACATGGTTGTCTTCAACACAATCAAGCAAGATTCTATTCTAAACCTCTGTGCATTGATGTTCTATTCTAGATATTGCAAAGTCAGAAGTGAACGAACCAGCAGGGTTTGAGTGCATGTGAATTGTTTTGTTTAAAAAAGAAATGTCTATTGATTGTTCCTTTTCGGATCCACTGACCAATCTCCTGGAAGTATTTCTTCTTGTCTCTGAAAGACTGCAAGTCCTCTTCTGTTTCTGGCTGAGGAGGAAATAATAATAAGGTCACCGTATGAGGAAGAAAAAGAGCCGGTGATATCAGTCTGTTCACATTTGAGGGAATTAAAGAAAAGGTTGCAATGTTGCGTAGCTTTCCGCGAGCTCCCTGTGTCATCATTGACATGCCCCTCTTAGCACATTTACATTGCATGTCACACTCCTATTTACACCCATTCATTCACAGCAGGCCTTCGAAAAACAATTTGGGGGTAAAGTGACATGGACATTTTTATCAAATAAAACCTTGTCAATAGCACACTCAACACACTCTATATTGACAATTACCTCTGGCTTAGGCGGCTTGTAGCTGCTGGTGCGTTTAGCCGCTGGCGCTTTGGTCCGGGCAGGTGGGGGCGAGGGAGATGCAGATAGTGGGGAGGGCGAGCGATTCACGGACCGTCGCTCAGACTTATGCCTCCGCTGCTTCTCCTCCCCCCAATGCTGCTTCACCTCCTGCTTCTTCTGCTTCCTCTGCTGCTCCTGGGTCTGCTGCTGGGACAGATTCATCGCCTGCATCGTCATCTGCTGGGCCTGCAGAGCAGCAGGAGAGAGGACATGTGAGCACAGGGTTGGAATGGTTGGTGTGAGAGTGAGTAAGGAAAGGTGGATATGGGTGGAGGGGCAAATAAACAACGAAGAAAAAAGGAATAATCATGCTTGAAGGACAGCATGCTGTGTGCCCGTCCTCACCATGAGTAAGGCCTGCTGGTTGATGAGGGCCTGCTGCGATGCTGCCATCCGCAAGGGGTCGGCGACAGGCGGCGCAGGCATGGGAGTCTGAGGCATCATCATACCTGTGCACGCATACACACAACAAATGGCATTTTTGTTTCAAACATAAAAAAACATAAACTAACATTATCAACGGGCTGTCAGGAGGTGCCAAAGGTGTCTATATAGTGTGTTGCAGAGATATCTACTGAATTCAGCATGCTAACCAGCTAGCCCCAGCCCCCCATGTCTTGTAGCTGCTCCAAGGGGCGCCTACCCTTTGTTTATTGAATTAAGTCCAAAGAGGATTACCTGGCATGGTTTGCATCATGGGAGCCATACCATAGCCGGGCATTGAAGGGTTAACCGCTGCTCCTGAACAAATCAAAAGGATGTAAATTTATAAAGTAGAAAAAAAAGACACCATTATTTTGAGACTTGATATGGAAAGGGGTCACGGTCGGGGTATTACAAATGAACATTCTAACTTACCCATAGCATAGCCGGGCATTGAAGGGTTAACCGTTTGTCCTGAACAGAGGCATCATAAGGATGTAAAATTTATAAAACAGAGAGACAAACACTTTTATTTTGACACTTGATGTGGAAAGGGGTCAAAGCCGGCGTATCACAAATGAATCTTCTCACTTACCCATAGCATAGCCTGGCATTGCCATGGGCATACCTGAAGAAAAAATAAATAAAGATAATAATTTAATTTGACAGAGACAGATGGACTCGCTTCTTAACTGTACATTGTGATTTTAATCCAGATGGTGTGAAATTTATTGAAGGAACAGAGATCCACTTTGCATACCAGTGCCATACATTGGTATCCCTCCTCCTCCCCTCATCCTGCGGTTTAGCATGGCTACTCTTTCCATGTCCTACGCACACAAAAAGACACACACAGCAAAAAAGACAACTCAGTGACTTCACACAGTAATAAGCTACATCACAGACACACAATCCACAAAGGACGAACAAAATCACTCAATACACCATGAAAACATCCTCTAGGGACAGACAAATACAGTACGGTACAATTTGCAAAATAAGATAAAGCTGATGACATTACTAACCGGAGGTCCCTGGTCCAGTACTGGGTCAAACAAGTCATCAACGTAGGCATCCATCTGTCGACCGCGACCTGCAATGAGTTGGAGAACAAAGATGAGATCATAATTAATTCCATTAATGTTGATAATAACAGTGTACTTTATACATTCTTTTATACATACATCTTCCTCTGATCACTTAGGAGTAGATCAAGTGTCAGTGAGTACACTGGTCCACCTGTGCACGGGCCTTAATGCTCAGCTTTGTACGGGTTTGGGAAAATTGGACGGATGGGGTCCTGGTGGTTTGTGTCCTACCAATGTTGGTGGACCTCAGGCCCCAGCTGTTTTTTTGTCCCAGTCCTGTACTAGGTGACACCATGTAAAGGTTGTGTTTACAGATTGTCTCATTGCCCCAAATGGCAAATACTTATTACAGTTTTTTTGTTAATTAGAGAATTAGGCCAATTCATTAGTTACTTCTGTTACTCAATTTACAACAACCTGTACAGTGGTGTCTTCCTCACCTAGAGGTTTAAGACCCGTTTGAATTGGTGAACATTAGGTCTGGAACAAGGTTTCTTTAACATGACTTGTTTTCAAGATCAGATACTAACGCGAGACCCACTTAACAACCTTGTTACTAAGTGTAGTGATGTAGTCTGCCAAACAAATTAGGAATGAATCAAATCCCCACTAACTAGACATGGTGTAAGCATGTGTGCTTTTGGGTTGCTCTGAGGGTCTATGCCCTCTGACGAGCAGTTTTATACCTCACTGGTAATCAAGCCTTGTTGAAACATGCCAAAGTCACTTGATTGCATTTGTGCCCGAGTTCAAACTGTCTCAGTTACATGACCTCCACAGGCCAGCCAGTGTGAGAACACTCAGTTCGAACACAATAGAGAGAAAGTAAATCCAGAGTAACTGACTGACTGAGAAAACAGCAGTAGAATAATTAAGCGTGAGTTCGGCTTATCAGAGGGTGTGTGCAGAAGCAGATTGGGACAAAGGTCTAATTAATCATTTGCAATTGACGAAAACACCCGAGAGATGCCAAGAGAGCAACTGGGCCTGTAGTGTTCAGTGTATGCTTCGATCAACTATATCGGAACACCTCTGCTCTTCTCCTTATACACTATGAGTGCACCTCTTGTCACCAGTTCGACAAGTCCCAGAAGCTCTTGGATGTTCTAAACAGAGTGGAGAACAAGAACAATACTGCTTATCAGCCTATATGACTCCCTACTCGCAGCAGGGGAGTCCTTTTGCTTCCTCGGTTCCATCATCACTCAGGGCCTCAAGTCGGAGCTGAACATCAGCTCCATCCCCAAGAAGACTTAACAGAGGATGTACCTCTTACAACAACTGCAGAAGTCCAACCTGCCAAAGACAATGATGTGTACTTCTGCACTGTGATCATTGCGTTCATCCCCTCCTCCTCCATTGCTATCTGGTACTCCGCAGCCACTGCCAAGGACATGGGCATACTGCAGAGTATCATTTGCTCTGTTGATAGGGTGCGTGGCCGCAACTTGCCATCCCTTCACTACTTAAACGGACCAGGACCCTGGGGGGCGGGCAAGAAAGATTGTGGCCGACCCCTCTCACCCTGAACACAGCCTGCTTGAGACCCTTCCCTCTGGCAGGAGGCTGAGATCACATCAGGACCAAAACAAAAACCTTAACCATAAGCATGCGACTTTTATATTTCCCACCTACCTTCCTGTGGATAATCTCTTCCCCAGCGGGTTTCCTCAAAAGGAGGCAGCCCAGGAGCTTGCATGGGTGGGGCGGGTGGAATGAACTCGTCCATATCTGTAGCTGGCATCCTGAGAGGAAAGAGACGCACATGGAGTTAGCGAACTCTTTAAAGCAAGGCACAGACTTAGCCTCAAAGACATTGGTGAGTGGTTCAGCGCTCTACCTGTCTTCCTGCCTACTGAACAGGTAGTCAGAGTTTGTAGAGGAGGGAGTCCCAGGAGGTGGCAGCACTTCAGATTCAGCTCCAGCTAGAAGATCCATGACAAAGTCCGAACCAGCCAGATCTGACCAGCCTTCATCAGTTAGAAGCGACACCGACCAGCCATGCCCTGCCTCCGACACCCCTCTATGACACACCAATGCATAGGTGAGGGGTGAAAACTACCACATGTAGTATGTACGACGGTAAAGAAACATTTGTCGAGACATAAAAGGGTAAACATCATAGCTAATACATATCATCTTGAAACTTACCCCAGGTAATCACTAACATCAAGACAAGACAGGACTTATCTAATGGTAATTTGGGGTGAATTTAGGAGAAATCTAGCAATCTAGAAAATACACAAAGTAAAACCTTTAAGGGTTTAATAATAGGAGGGTTCTCTTTCTATTAATCTGCGACAAGACAAGTTATGGATGCAAAATACATCTACAAATTGATATGTCCATAAATATTTGTTTGTATAATGTTTTGCCTGCCGTGTCCGCCCAACATACTGAAGGTTGATAAACTGCTGATTTGGAAGTACCTGAAAAGAAGGAGCCATGAGGCCAGCTGCTCTCCTGTGGTCCACGACTCCACCTCGGTTGTCAGCTTCTCGTCTGAGATTTTAAAAAAAGGCTGGTTTTTGTTTGTAAAATCGTGACACACGAGTGGCGCTGCCAACAACAAAGAGTCTCCAGTTTGTAAAGAGTCAGGCAGTCTCACCGTTGAAGGTGTGTACGTCCAGTACCATGGTGCCTCTTCTCTGGTTGCTGGTCCACTCCAGCTGGGTGGGGGGGTAGACGCGGGCAGCGGGAGCCGGGAGCTGCAGCGATGTCAGCAGTTTGTGTTGGCAAAGCGAGCGGTACTCCCGTGGACCGTTGTCGGACACATACCTGCACAGGGTAATAATTCCAAATATAAAAATAAATGAGCTCAGTTCAGAGAAAATGTTGCATCAATCACCTTACAGTCAATAGGGTATGACTTTGCACCATTCAGATGAAGTTAGCCCGGTAGGCCAACAAAAAGGCTAACCAAAGTGTAACACCTACTTGAGAAGGGGTTTGTCCAGGGTTGGTGAGGGTGTGAAGGCCCCGAGGCAGCAGGCCAGCAACAGCCAGCCCCTCAGACTGTCCTGCTCCTCGGGCCGGCCCCACGTGTGGTAAGCCAGCTGGGCGAGGATCTCATCTCTCAAGGCTGGCTGGCTCTGACTCTTCTCCACTATGTAGTTACCCAGCATCTGCTGCTGCCAGCCACTAAGTTCTGACTCACCCGTGAACCGCAAGATCTGTGGAAAACAAAGGAGTCAAATAAATCAAACAAATGAAAATAAAATTAGTCTGATGGCAACTAGTTGAATCACTCCCATATACCAGTTTGTAAATATCCAGTGCAGTTCTGGCATCTTCAGGCTCCAGAGGGGTGAGGGATCTCTGGAGGGGGTATCCCTGAGGCTGGCTCCATGTATCCTGTAGGAGGATACAACATGTGGGACCTCAGGCAGGAAAAGCAAGACATCCGTTTCCATCCACCCATGAGCGGGTGTGTTAGATGTCTTGTCACGTATGAGTATGATCCAGTGATGATATGTTTTTTTCAAAACAAATAATCCATTTCCGGAAACAGGCTTTCCTTATGTCCGTGGGGTTATTGCTGTTTTCCTGCTGTGGTTTAAGTATTTTTGGATTATGCAAACATCACATCCTTTTGTAAGGATTTTCTCCTTTTTATTAAATGAATCTCTATATGAAACCTGTTTAGAAAATGGAAGTAATTCTTCAGAATAGAATGTTGTAATGGATTTCCAATATTAACAACAATAACAAATCAACAAGCCATAAATAGAGGCTTAAGCTGCTGAAGAGTTCAGGAGTTGGTGAAGATCAAACCACAGTTAAAAGGAGAGTAAATGTTACTGAATTTGTCAGCACTCCAAATACTGAATATAAATAGGAATGCCCCATCTTCTGTATGTGTACATATTTAAGGTTCATAATTATATACAGATTGTTCTACATGTTTTCATACTTCAACGAGGCCGCATTAAAAAGCAGCTACATAGTCATTTGGAGAAAAAAAACTTTTACCTCCTACGTTTACAATTATTTCAATAAAATGCTACCTGCCTTCTTACACCGACCAAAACAACCATCTGCCTCTTTACAGTGGCGCCCCACCAGAGGCCGCTGCTGTACTCAAGAACTTCAGACACAATAATGGCAAAGTCAAGTTGTCCACTTCATCATTTTTCATCCCAATCTGCATGAAAGCCCTTCTAAAAAAACATTGTGTGTACATCCTCTTCTTTTCCTGCCTGATGCTGCTTGAACTGGCATGTGAAATGCCAACGGGATTGGTCACGGTTGGTGCCTGGTGCTTCCTGGTGCCGAGGAAGTTCACGCCCCATCAGCTACCTGAAGACCTGAAGAGGAACTGATTCTATACTAGTGGGGATTATCTACCAAAGCACAATTGAGCAAAAAGAACAAATTGGTTGTTTTGTTTACATCGACTGACCTAATCTGATTTCAGGATAAGATAAAAAATAGATAACTTAATCATGAGTGGTTTGAATTGGAAACAGCCCTGTACTACTTTCCATGTAGCTGTCTGGACCGGAAGTGGATTCAAATACTTGAAACATCTTTGAGAAAGGGTAACAATGTAGGAGAGTGGTTCATCACATCTGGATATTGCTTCGGAGTGTTTCCTCTCAGCCTGACGATGCGTGCCGACATGCCGTTGAGCAATACAACCGTCTTTAATTGACCGACATGTTTTTGTAGTGTGACGCCAACCATCTGAAGTGTGAGGCGGGGTGTGTTTTACGGCGTAATGAACAATCCTAGCCTGGGTTGTGACTAGGGGCATGTGTGCGCCTCAGCCTCGCTCACCTTTAATATGGACTTGGCATAGCGAGAGAACGGGTATCTGTCCACATCCAGAGGCAGGGTAAGCTTGTGCCCAGCCTTCACCTGCGGAGGTGCGACCTCGGTGACCCCTGAAGCCTGCTGATGCCCTAGTGGATGGAGACGAAGAGAAATCACAGTCATTGGCACAGTGGCAGGAGGGGGGGGGGGGGTTGCAGGGTTGTGTGAGGCTTTACCCGCTCCGCTGCGAAGTCGGGCTGACAGCTCAGCGGGGATCTCCAACCTCCCCACATCCTAACGGCAAGAAACCAACAAACAAACGTGGAGACAACGTGACAGTCCGTATTCTCCTGTGAAATATGACAGCAGGTGCGCCATGACTTTATTTCCTTACCATTCCTGGAGAGGCACACTTAGTCTTCTTCACTGTCTCCACTTGGTTTGTCTCATGAAGTTCCTGAATGACACACACCAGCACGGCCAGTTAGTCAATCATGATGATTGTTGTTTCATAATCATAATCATATCCATAGATTTAGCGTCATTCACCCGAAGCTTGTTTTTGAATCACTGAGAAATTCTCTTGTTCAGGCACACTCAACACTCCCTAACCTCTGCTCGAGGAGCGTGTTCCATCAGAGCTATTATTCTGGAACGCCCAGAGTCCGGTCGCCCCGCCTCATACAACGTGACGCGCGGTTCCAAAAGTCCAGAAGGTTTGTTTTTTATCAGGAGGTTTACAGCCAGCAGATGGGAGCCGCCATCACTCAGTCGTGACTATGAACTGAACCATCCCATGCAGCGATGAACGTCCGTTTGCGCATTCCTGCTTTTGGTCAGCAGATTATTCTGACGTTGTGAGAACTGTAGTTCAGACCAAACGTGGGCGGCGTGCACACCTTTTCATACGGCAAATTCTCCTTTTTTATTTAAGGCCTCGCTTCAACAATCAGCTCAAATAACACAGAAGAGAATGGGTGTTCATGAAGGAGTCGGCCCAACCCTGCTCCACCTCCACATGGGAGGATTTACAATGGCTGACCTTCCCAAACCAAACAGGTGTGTCACAAATCCTAACTGAGCCCAACACCCCTACAACCTAGAGTTTACTATTTGTCCTCAAAGGGGGGGATTCTTCCCCAGTTTATAAGTCTAATTGTTTCCTCATGAAAGGCAGACTGCTCACACGGCCAAATATTTATTCATTACTGAACTCCTCCCCTAGAGATGATAAGGATATGTGGTCCATGCATGGTTAAACCTATCGGAGCAATTAATAGTTTTTATTCAAACTATGAAAAGAACACATCCACATTTGTGAGGTTTCTTAGTATGTGTGTGGGAGGGTGTGTGTGTGGGGGTGTGTGTGTGTGGGAGGGTGCCAGCCACCGCTCTGGAGGGGGGGTGTTTGACAGCGTTTGACTCCCCACCACACGACATCCCAACGGATAGGCCTCCATTAAATGATATGTATTATATGTATACGGTCATTCATGTTCCCCAGAGGATGAATGCTAATGACATTACTGAAGAAACTGTTATCCATATTGGATAATATTAACAATCTCCTGACTAGCAGCCGCATAAAACAACCACTTGTCTAGTGGAATATGTGGACAGATGTTGGTATTCATCTTGACATTTTATCTCAGCCAAAAGCAGATTCAAATCTTTGGTTCAGGGGGAACCAGGCGATGGTGGATTGTAACTATTGTTTCTCAAATAGCGTAAATAATGAAGCTATTGAGATTGAAACTTGGTCCTTTGGTTATAACATTATACATATATCGTATTTCGTATTCCACTTCACTACATTCCAGAGAGATAAATGTACTTTATACTCCTCTACTTACACATCCTATTGACCTAGTGGTTTTTGTATTTTTTTTTTACTAACAAAGACAGACTTAATGTTAACTTTTGTAAAAAAGAACATGGTATATTGTCATAGAATTAACTTGTTTGGTGGTTCCTAAAATCAGCTCTGATTACAATCCTTATTGCTTCTCTTTTAGCAAAACAAGTTGTTTCTTAAATCTACTTAATGCAAATTATATTGATGTATGAATCTATGATAGTTTACTTTATTTTTTTGGATTGATTGACTTGATAATCAAGATAAATGTAAGATGCTTTCTTAATAAGTAAAGCTACACATTAGTTGATGGGGGAAGTATTGGGGATATAAAGTGTCACCGTGTGACGATTTGGTGTGAACCCACTTCTGAGCGTGTAATAGTTCTGCTGGAAATACGTAATGAATCATTTTGACTGTGTCAGAGTTAATGGACGCTGATGTCCCCCTCAGTCCTAAAATCAAACCAAATCTCATTTTTCAGTTACTCGCGCTTACTATTCTAAGATGAGCTCAGCTGACAGAGCCGGACAGCTCTGCTGTTCAGAGTCCAAACCTCATAAAACAATCTAATCCAGCGTCGAGCAACTCCAGCAAAAGCACCAACACAAAGAAGAAAACTGTGGCAAGAGGAGAAGGAGAGATGAAGAGAGGGTCCATGTGCCGTGAGCGGTTTCTCACGTGAGTGAACTACGGGGCTTTTGTCATGTGACAAATGGGTGAAAATAGAAGCAGCCTACCTGTCAGAGCCTCCAGCTGGAAGTCAGGCTTCAGGTTTCAGGAGGCGGAAGGAGAGATACAGTGCTGCTTCAAGTTTCACCAAGAGAGGTTGAAGTCCAAGACCGGAGCGCCGCAGAGATAGAGTGTGTGTGTGTGTGTGTGTGTGTGTGTGTGTGTGTGTGTGTGTGCGCTCAAGTGACATGATTAATGCACGATAACAGAGGTGGTTAAAGGACGTGGATGAGATCATATAAAGAAGCTCGCTACCTGCGCTGCAATCCTCAGTCATACACTCAGCTCTACACATTACAAAGATCATTGTTACGACGAGGTGGTTCCATGTTCACGACATCACCTTATATCAGGACACTTTTCTGCATCAAACAACCTTTTCCCTTGTTATACACGCGTTATTGTGATCAGGTAGCATACGTTTTATGACGCGATGCTCATATTTTAAGGAGAGGAGAACAAATAAGAAGAGGAATATGGCTCATTATTCCAATGTTTTGCCCCCATTTGAGCTGAATCAAAAAGTGAATACTGAAATCCACTTTTGGAGCAGTGCATCCCAAAGTCACGCTGCGACGGCCCGGTCAGAGGGGACTCGTTGGGCCGCCGCTTAGTGTTAGCGGCTCAGGGAGTGACCCGTCTACGGTTCTCCCTGCGATAGGTGTGAACGCACCCTGATGGCCGAGATACACGCACTGTGTTGACGTGTGTGACGCTGACAGATAGACAGCAAGAGAGTCAGTGGACTGACCATTCTGTGGATCTACATTTTCATAATCCATCACAAAGCAGCAGTCTCATGAAACTCAGATTAAAAGTCCATCTAGTGCTGAAAGTGGATCAGTATCATGTTGCTGCATACATTCAGAAACATCTTTGAGAGAAATGTGCAGATGTAAAAGGAGAAAGTTTGTGAGCCAGCCATTGGATCATCCATTGTATTGAGTTGAATATCATATCAAACATTGATTTTTAAAACATGATTCGGGTGAGGAAATAAAAGGTAAAGATTGGCGATAATTGGACTTTGCAGAACACTGACGCAACAATACAGGCAGCACTGCAACCGAGGCATTTGTGAGGAAATGGAAAAAGAAAGTACACTTTGACCACAGACATGGTCGTTATCGCGGGGAGGTTCTTATTGCAGCTCATGCTGGTATTGTGCAAGAAGAAGATTTATAGCACAATAAAATATGAGGTTGTCAAGACAACCTAGCTCTCTCTCTCGCGCTCTCTCTCTCTCTCTCTCTCTCTCATTCACCTACCTTCCTCCAATGGCGCCTCTTGACGGTGTCCCTGGTGATCATCATCACCGCCCAGAACTGGTTGAAGGACTGCCTCAGACGCTTGTAGTGCTTCCTGGAAACAGAGAGAGTGCAGCAAAACACAACGACAGGGAGCGCTTCCATAACTAGTGGTGTTCCTTATCTATTCAAATACAAACATTAAAGGGATGGTGGGAGTACTTTTGTTTCAGCGTATTACCCACAGCTACAGTGGGCCTGCTGCCGGCCTGTAGAAGCAGACAGGAGACCCCCCCGTTCACCACACAACATGAACTGACTAACTGATGGAGGCCCCACGTGACCAAGAGCCACTTCTTTGTTTTGAGAGGGAAAATATCTTTTTACACTTAAAAAAAATGCTTTTTATCAATTGAGTGAAGTTTATTTTGATGTGTTTTCCCATAGACTGTCTATAAGGAGTGGCCACTCCTGGTGGTGACATCACCCATTGGCTGGTTGGTTGCCGTTTTGAACCAGCTCAGCTATTTTGGCATCAACCATCAAATGGAAGTTACTATATTTGGAATGCAAAGGAGCGACGTAGAGACTTTGTATACGGGGAGCGTCAGCAACCTGTCAATCACAGAAAGCCCGCCCCAAGGCGTAACCAGGTTTATGGTTTTTGCAGCCAGTGCAGTCAGCCCTTGCTGATCAGTTTTCACTCAGCCGAATTGGAGCTTAAATTGAAAAGGTTGCATCTTAACAGCAATTTCCTTTTTCTATTTCTGTGTTTAAAGATTAACGATTTAAAAACCCTTTCATTTGAACCCCTCTCCGCTCCTCCTCCTTTCTCTACCTGGCCTGGTGTCCTCGTATGTGGCTCTGGATGACGATGGCTTTCTCTTTGAAGAACCTGAAGTTCCTCCTGCAGATGAAGCCTCTGATGTTCCTCTGGATGGTGATGGCAGCCCAGGTCTGGGTGCTGCTCCACCTCTCCTCCAGCAGCTGGTAGAGAAGCTCCTTGAGGAACAGCTAACGCAGACATACACATACAAAGATGTCGATATGTACGGTAATAAAAGGTCAATCTGTGTCACCAGGGGGCATTTCGGCACCTTGGTCAGACCCATCTGATACTGTCCCTCCTCTGCGTCCACCATGGCCAGCAAAGCCACTGACTGCTCTCTGTCGGACTCCTGGCTCAGTTTCTGGCTGAGGAGCACCCCGTATCTGTGAAACACAACGAGGTGAGGAGCTCCTGAATGCACATCAAACACACACTGCACCTGCAGTGAACATCCATGGATACTGAAAGAGTGCTGCAAACGTCTTGTTACCTCCACCAGGAGCATCAGTTTGAACTCACGGTGAACTCGCCTAAATCTGTTGCAGGCATATGCAGCGGGTGAAATAAGTATTGAACACGTCACCATTTTTCTCAGTAAATATATTTCCAAAGGAGCTATTGACATGGAATTTTCACCAGATGTTGGTAACAACCCAGTAAATACGAGCCAGAAGAAAGGCAATCTTCCATGGTCCGACGCGGCCCGGAGTGCTTTCGACACCCTTAAACCGCTGTTCACCTCGGCCCCCATGCTGACCCAACCGGACCCCGACCGCCAGTTCATTGTCGAGGTGGACGCCTCCGAAGAAGGGGTCGGTGGTGTTCTATCCCAAAGCATGGGGACCCCTCCCAAGATGCACCCATGGGCATTCTTTTCTAAGAAACTGTCCCCGGCAGAAAGGAACTACGACGTGGGCAACCGGGAACTGCTTGCCATCAAACTCGCCCTTGAAGAGTGGAGGCATTGGCTAGAGGGAGCTCGACACCCCTTTGTGGTACTGACGGATCACCGTAACCTGGAGTACCTGAAAGGGGCTAAATGGCAAAATCCGCGTCAGGCCCGATGAGCTTTGTTTTTTACCCACTTCTGGTTTACCGTGTCTTTCCAGCCAGGGGGGAAGAATGCTAAGGTGGACACGCTCTCACGCGCGTACGGTCCCCAGCATCCACGACCGACCCCATCCTTCCAGCTTCATAATTCGTCGGACCTATTCACTGGGAGCTCGAGTCCGTCATCCAGGAGGCGCTGCGCACAGAATCGGCGCCACCTGGTCGGCACTAGTCCTGACCCACCTGAAGTCCTTCACCGACCTATGCCAGGATCCTGTTTGTGGACTTCAGCTCTGCCTTCAACACCATCATCCCGTCTGCTGCAGGACAAACTCTCCCAGCTGCACCGCCCGACTCCACCTGCAAGTGGATCACAGACTTCCTGTCTGACAGGAAGCAGCGCGTGAAGCTGGGGAAACATGTCTCAGCCTCTCGGACCATCAGCACCGGTTCCCCCCAAGGCTACGTTCTTTCCCCTCTGCTCTTCTCCCTGTACACAAACAGCTGCACCTCCAGTAACCAGTCCGTCAAGCTCCTGAAGTTTGCGGATGACACCACCCTCATTGGACTGATCTCTGGTGGGGATGAGTCCGCCTACAGATGGGAGTCTGACCATCTGGTGTCCTGGTGCAGTCAGAACAACCTGGAGCTCAACGCTCTAAAGACAGTGGAGATGGTTGTGGATTTCCGGCGGAACAGAGCCCCACCCTCCCCCATCACCCTGTGTGACTCCCCCGTCACTATTGTGGATTCCTTCTGTTTCCTGGGCTCCATCATCACCCAGGACCTCAAGTGGGAGCTGAACATCAGCTCCATCACCAAGAAGGCTCAGCAGAGGTTGTTCTTCCTGAGGCAGCTGAAGAAATTCAACCTGCCAAAGACGATGATGGTCCACTTCTACACGGCCATCATGGAGTCCATCCTCTGCTCCTCCATCACCGTCTGGTACGCTGCAGCCACAGCCAAGGACAAGGGCAGGCTGCAGCGTGTCATACGCTCTGCAGAGAGGGTGATCGGCTGCAATCTGCCGTCTCTGCAAGACTTGTTCGCTTCCAGGTCTCTGAAGCAAGCTTAAAAGATGGTGGCCGACCCCTCTGACCCCGGACAAAAACTGTTTGTGCCCCTTCCATCTGGCAGGAGGCTGAGGTCCATCAGGACTAAGACCTCCCGCCACACGAACAGTTTCTTCCCGTCGGCAGTCGGGCTCATCAACAGAGCCCGGTCCCCCACTGACTGACTATCTATAACATTCCACCGGTCACTCCCCTTCACACTGCACATGCCACTTTAACTGTAATTTATCACTTTGTCGTCACTTTGTTACTTGTTCGTTAGTGCACTTTATGCTTAATATTTTCTATATTCTATATAACTTTTTTAATATTTAAAATTTGTAACTTTATTTCCTTGTTTTATACCAACCCATAGCCTTATTCTACTAACTCATCACGTTAGCATTTCATTTTACTTTATTTTATTTCTTGTGCACTGCTGTCTTGTCTATTGTCACACTGTCCACTGTCGCGCACCAACCGCCAAGACAAATTCCTTGTATGTTTGGCATATTTTGGTAATAAATGTTTCCTGATTCCTGATTCCTGATCACCAGAATTCCGAACACCTGCGAGGGAGGAGACCTTTAAGAGCAGGCCGACGCAGCGAGCGAGTTGTGAGGTATTGCAAGTACGCTTCTCTGTTGAACCCTTTGTTTCTCTGCCCCTGAATTCCTGTAGAACCAGTGAGCTTCCGTGTATCGACCTTCCGCCTTCTCTCGACTACAAACCTGCCTATTCCCTGGATCAGATCTGTCTTTTGCCATCCCGTGTCTCCGAACCACTGCCTACAGTTTCCTACTGTCCTAAATAAACATTGAGAGCTCTGCTCTTTGGTCTGAGTCTGTCTCCAGAGTCCATTCCTTACAATGAGAGCAAAATTTAACTTTTGGATGCCATATTACACACCATCTTTGGAGGAGAAATGGCACTGCACATCACCCTAAAAACAACATACCAACAGTGAAGTTTGGAGGTGGGAACACTTCACATAATTGAAGTTGGTTGGTCTGTACAGTATCCAGAGCCACTGAGCTATTTCCCTTCAGAGGAATCAAACTGTCAACCCGAAGCGTTACGCAAAGTTGGTGCATTGTGTTCCAGTAACGTGAGAGCATCTCAACGTTTTGCGTCAGTTTTGTGAAGAAACCAGAATGAAATATGTTATAAGTAATATTTAAACTAAAAGGTATAATGTGGCCCACTGGCTTTGTTTCAGCATAAGGTCCAAACTGGAGACACAATGATGTATAAAACTGAAAACTTCAACATGCAGTCCACTGTGTGACACTGGAAAATACATAGACGCATTCACAGCGATCCTGTTACCAGATGAATGTGGTTTTAATGTGGCTTCTTTACCCATCAATTTCATCGTCATGGTAACGATAACCGCTGGAGAGTGCTGTGCGTTGCTGCTGCCAGTTTCCATCCGTTATGCCAGAGAATTTGCTATCAGCGACCGAACTTTTCTCTGGTTTTCTCTAGTCCACAGTTTCCAATGTAAGAGTGTGCCATAAATAAAAAAAAACGAAAATAATAAGTCGTAAATTCATTTTTTGGGATAAGGTGTGATGACGGTTGTGGAAATGGATGCTGGTTGTGTTTGTCAGCACCTCTCAATGAAGCAGGAGTACTGCATCCGTATGGGGAAACCCTCTTTCCTGATGTGAATGGTCTCCAGCATCCCAGCATGCCTCAGCTGGGCAGACACGTAGTCCACGTCAAAGATGCCCGGATGCTGGCGGAGGATATGCACGATAGAGAAACACAACGCGGTCACACGTTGTTCGGATGGCGCTGGCATCAGCACGTAGTATCCGGTGTTACCTTGACGTAGTTTGGCTTCAGACAGTGAATGAAAGTGGTTTTGCATCTAAGAGTTGAAGAAGAAAACATGGACACAGGTTATCCGTCACCCTGAGACCCTACGAAGTGCACACAAATGTGAGGGGTGGGAGCGTAGGACCTGGGAGCCTCAGCACAGAGCGGGAGGCTTAAACTCAAGGAGAGCCTCTCCATATGAAGGAGATCCCGTGAGAGTTGAGCAACTCACGTTTGTTCTCGTGGTCCGGCGTGTGCTGAAGTCTGGGTTGCTCTGTTTGTGGCTCGCCAGTACCGTGTGTGTGGGCAAACTATACTAAGGAGGTAGGTTGTGCAATTTTAATCTACATCCTGTAGGCCATGGGGAAATTAATATAATGTTCTTTTCTATGGTAGAAGGTCAGACCTGAACCAGACCTGGTGAGCCCAGGGTCCTACCTGCCAGTGCACAGGTGCATTGGGCCAAGGAGGTAGGAAGTGGGGCTTGCAAGCACATTATGCATTTTGTAATGAGGATGATAGGTACTCTGTGATCAATGGCTGTTTTGTACATTGCAGGCTGAACTGGTGACACTGAGTGGTCAGCAGGGCAGCCACTGCATTTTTGCTCTGACTAGAGCTTTAGTTTAGTGTTATGCTCTAGTGCCTCCATCTTGTCCTCTTTTTGTAGAAATAACAAACTGATATCGTGCCTTTTTGATGACCGTTGCTTCCCCCTTCCACACTTCTATTGTGTTGTGTCTTTTAACCAGGATCATTAATCGTATTTGTGTGTTCCCAACATAATTTGCAGTGCTATTGGTTTGCAGTGTTGGTTATTTTTCTTAACCGTGTCCAGTGTTTTTATTGTTGGAAGTGTCATTGTTGCCCCCGGTCAACCACTACTGGTCTAAATTATTTGGATGTGTTTTTATAAAGTTATTGTTTAAATGAAAGTGATATTGCACCGTACACGCAGAAGCCTCTGTCCGTCTACGATCTACCTTGTAATTGAATTCGGATTCAGAGTCTCTCCCCTCAAAGAGAGTGCCGTTGTCACGTCTGGATATTATTCCATATAAGTATTTTAAGTGTCCATTTGGTAACACAAAGAAGGACTGAGCAGCCTCTCATGGCTGGTTTATAGATTTATGGAGCAGCAGAAGGAGAATCCCCAGGTTCTATGCAAACCACAACTGTCTCATTTCAAACACATGAGGTGCAACCGTACCCATCACCCAGTTGGCCCAGCAGTGAGTCAATGTGTTGGTACCTCTCCAGGCGGGTGGTGAGTTCAGTCAGGGACTGAAGGAAGTGGGAGGCGGCGGTGGAGGGCTGTTGGCGGAGGCCCTTTCCTCTCCAGCCCAGCTCTCTTTGCTGAATGTAAGCGTCCTGAACCTTCCGGAAGAGCTCCGACACCATCTGACAAGACGTGCAAAATCCCGGGTCAACTGTCAAAATGAAGTTTGTTAAATTAAAAGGCCACAGGTGTGTTTTTATGTTTATGTTGCTACGCAATAGAACTGTAAGCGGATTTATGTTCAGTGCTACCCCCAAGTTGCACGTGTGATTATGACTCCCGGGGTTCAAGAGGAAAAATGAACTACATTATGACGTTCATTATGACCTTTGCTAGAGAGGATTGAGGCTCTGGTCACAGTAAGGTTAGGAACACCAGGGTAAGCGTAGTAGGGCAGGGCATGACTTGTCCATGTTGGAACAGGGGGGGGGGGGCATGAGACGACTGCCTAGAGGCAGTGTAGCGCTGTCATCAGAAGTAGCCACTCCCTTAAGAATTTCCGGCTTCTTCATCTATTTTACTTGAAATGAGAGATTGACACCAGAAACAAACGTTTACAATGTTAAAATATATCAAGTGTCATTTTCTCATAAACGTTTACAACCAGATTTCTATTCAGAAGAGTCGCCCCCTGCTGGCCATCAGAAATGATGGAAGTTGAAGGCACTTCAGCATTGGTTTAATAATTCAATAGTTAAATTCATCAATAGGTCTCGCTTTTCAAACCTGGATGTGGCTTCTTGATAACCCACAAACCAGTGTAATCCGATTTCATCTTTTGTTGCAAAGGGCTTCTTCTGTGGTTGCCGAGCTAATTTTGCTACGCTATGAAAAAAAGAGCCATAGCCTCAGCAGTACGTGTGGCGTGTCAGTCGGTTCACCTTTAAGCGACTCCTGGCAAAAAGTTCCACCACTTCTGTCCGGAACTGGTCGTGGTTCTTATTCAGGAAATTATGAACCTGTAAAAAGAGTTCTTTCATTTTTTTAATACTATTTTGGCAGCACCGGCTGCTGCTTGGAAAATATCTGCTGTATAGTGTATAGTATATCGCTGTAAGTAGAGCATAATACCTGGTAAGTGACAGCTCCTGCATAGTGGTAGACGGTGAAGACTGGCAGTGGGTTCTTGGGCTTGGCGTAGTAGGGGCTGTTACAGTGGTGGTAGTGGCACTTCTGTAGGAAGGTGTGGTCAGTGGCCTGATGAAAAAACGATGAGGAGCAATACCAATCACACATACAGGTATGTGCTTACTTTAGTATTTCATACTCAAATCTGTCAAACCCTTGTGTGTGGGAGTGTACCTGGGGGAGGCAAGTCTGATCGTCCAGTATGCGCAGGATGCCGTGTGGTCTGGAGGAGAGCAGCTCCAGGCAGGAGTGGAAGTTCTTGAGTTGCATCGGATACCACTGGATCTGTTCTGCACTGTACTCCTCCTGCAGGCAGCTCATATGCAAACATTGCACGCTGCACTAAGTTTAAGCATGTGGAAACGGTTTCAGGTTCTACTTGGGTGATAAAAACAAAGACCAGCACGGTTGTTGGCTTTGGTATCATATTAGCATATGCTATAACTGGCCTTACAGGCTGACAATAAACCTTTAAGCAATAAGCCCATCACAAGAGGAAATGGGAGGAAGAAGCCGTGCAGAAGCAGTTTGGAACAGACATCACTGCATAATCTGGGCCAGGTGACTCATGCAATGACCCCAGTGCGACCTCGGTGATTTATGGATCTAAAACTCATAGAATTACGTACCTTTAAAACAAGACTAGTAGTTTTAACTTTCCTAATTTAGACAATACAAGTAGTCCATCTATTTGTCCTGCTCAGGGACGAGGTGTTCGATCGACGTTACAATATTCTGTCATGATCCGGATTCCTCCTTGTTTTGTTTTTCTACACACACACACACACACGCACACCCAGCTGATACTCATTAACACACCTCCTCATTCCCATTCATGCTTTCACTCGCCCTAAACGCCCACAGCCGCTTTCCATAGCAATCAACTCTCACACTGATTCTCAACTCACCTGTTTCTGCTCACTGCTTAATTTGTTTGACTCTTTCTAACCACTGTTTCTCTACTCCCCTGTCAGACTGTTGTTGAACGCTGAGCTGTTGCCTTGTCCTTGTGTTACCAATCCAGCGTTGTCTTTTTTGAGATCTACTGTAAGTCTTGTCCCGGACTGCGTCTGCTGACGGCAGCCCCCTTAGTTCGAGTTTGGGAAGAATAAAAGACATTTTTCCGCACCTCTGCATCTGGGTCCTCTGTTCTCCACGTAACAGAACAGTCTGACCAAGATGGACCCAGCGGAGGAGGCACCTTTTTGCTCGGCCACTGAGGCCCAGGGAGCACTTCTTGGAAGACATGATGGGGAGATTTCCGAGGCACGCCGTGCGGTGGAGAGCCTCTCCGCCCAAGTTTGAGACCTGTCATCACGGCTCCAGTTCCAGCTGGAGGCCCCCAGCGTTCGCGGAGGTTCTGCTGAACCCCGGATCAACAATCCCCCGTGCTACGCCGGTGAACCTACTGAGTGCCGCTCTTTCATCACGCAGTGTGAGGTCGTCTTTTCCCTGCAGCCAACCACCTATGCACGTGATTCGGCGCGCATCGCTTTCGTTATCTCTCTGTTGAAGGGGAGGGCGCGCGAGTGGGGAACTGCCCTCTGGGGAATGGATTCGGATCTGACTGAGCGCTTTGAGTTATTTAAGGAGGAGATGATCAAGGTGTTCGACCGATCCATCCACGGACAGGAGGCTTCTCGAGCCCTCGCCGTGCTTCGACAGGGTAGACGTCCAGTTACAGATTACGCCATTGAGTTTCGTACTTTGGCCATCTCATCTGGCTGGAACGAACCAGCCCTGGTTGCTCACTTCTTGGAGGGTCTTAACTCTGCCCTTAAGGAGGAGATATATGCCCGTGAGATTCCTGATCGGTTCGACCAGTTGGTGGAGCTCGCTATCCGTCTCGAGAAGCGCTTGGAAATGCGCCGCCACGCTCGAGGTTGGAGAGAGGAACAACTGGTCTCCCCGCCCACCTTCTCTGTCCCAGCAAGAGTCGAGCCGGAGGCTGAGCCCATGCAACTTGGTGGTATCCACATCTCGGCTTCCGAGCGACAGCGAAGAATTGCCAATCGTCTCTGCCTTTACTGTGGCTCGAGTACCCACTTTGTTTCCACCTGCGCAGTAAAAGCCAGAGCTCGCCAGTGACCAGGGGATTGCTGGCGAGCGCGACTAACCTCTCCCCCAGATCCAGAGTTAAGTCTCGCACTACATTCCCGGTAACTCTTCGGTGGTCGGGCGGTGCAGCATCCTGTCTGGCCCTCATCGACTCCGGGGCGGAGGCCAGTTTCATCGATGAGCAGTGGGCACGGGAACATGGCATACCACTGGCTGACCTTGAAGACTCCACGCCGGTGTTTGCCCTGGACGGTAGTGTCATATCCAAGGTCCGTCTATCCACCGGGCCGGTGAGTCTCTCCATATCGGGGAACCACCAAGAGACTATTTTTTTTTATATTTTTCAATCCCCCTTTTGCCCTGTTGTTCTTGGCCATCCTTGGTTAGCTAAACACAATCCTCAGATTAATTGGACTAATAACTCCATTCTTTCATGGGGCCTGCCGTGTCATGTTGAGTGTCTTGTATCTGCAGTTTCTCCTGTCTCCTCTGTTTCTGTGTTTCAGGAGGAGTCCGGGGATTTGAACGGTGTGCCGGGGGAGTACCTCGATCTGCGGGCGGTCTTCAGCCGTTCTCGGGCCACTTCCCTCCCTCATCGACCGTATGATTGCTCGATTGATCTAATTCCCGGTACCACTCCCCCTCGCGGTCGATTGTACTCTTTATCTGCTCCTGAACGCGAAGCGTTAGAGAAGTACCTCTCGGAATCTATTGCCGCGGCCACCATTGTTCCATCCTCCTCTCCCGCTGGTGCTGGATTTTTTTTTGTGAAGGACAGATCCCTGCGCCCGTGCATTGATTATCGAGGGCTGAATGACATCACAATTAAGAACAGGTATCCTCTGCCTCTCATGTCATCAGCCTTCGAGGTCTTGCAGGGGGCTAAGGTTTTCACTAAATTAGATCTGCGTAATGCGTACCATTTGGTTCGTATAAAGGAGGGAGATGAGTGGAAGACCGCGTTTAACACGCCCCTTGGTCACTTTGAATATCGGGTCCTCCCCTTTGGTCTCGCAAACGCCCCCGCCGTCTTTCAGGCCCTCGTCAATGATGTCTTGAGAGACATGCTTAACATTTTCGTGTTTGTATACCTCGACGACATACTCATTTTCTCACCCTCTCTCCAAGTGCACGTCTATCACGTTCGTCGTGTCCTACAGCGCCTCTTAGAGAATCGCTTATTTGTCAAGGCTGAGAAGTGCACATTTCATTCTCAGTCAGTGACTTTTCTAGGGTCGGTCGTGTCCGCTGACGGGATTGGCATGGATCCTTCTAAAGTTAAAGCGGTCACTGACTGGCCGGCTCCCGATTCCCGTGTCGCGCTCCAGCGCTTCTTAGGATTTGCCAATTTCTATAGACGGTTTATTCGCAACTTTAGTCAGGTGGCCGCACCACTCACTGCGCTCACCTCAGTCAAGTCTCGCTTCTCTTGGACCGAGGCGACCCAAGCCGCGTTTGATCGCCTAAAAACCTTGTTCACCACCGCTCCTATTCTCATCAACCCCAACACTGAGAGACAGTTCATTGTCGACGCGTCGGATGTTGGGGTGGGGGCGGTCCTTTTAATCAGACACTGGGTCGCATGCTCCGCAGTCTTGCGTTCCAAGATCCTTCATCCTGGTGCGAACAATTACCATGGGCGGAGTACGCACACAACTCCCTGCCATCGTCTGCAACAGGACTATCCCCCTTTAACTGCTGCCTTGGGTATCAACCTCCGCTTTTTCCTTCCCAAGAGGTCGACGCTTCTGTTCCGTCTGTAGAGGCTTTTATTCGGAGATGCCGTCGCACATGGAAGAGAGTGAGAACTGCCCTCTGTCGTACCAAATCACGCACTCGCTTATCCGCTAACCGTCGGCGCATAAGGGCTCCGAGATACGTTTGCGGGCAACGCGTCTGGCTGTCGACCCTAAATTTACCGTTGCAGTCTAGCTCCCGTAAACTTTCATCCCGGTTCATCGGACCGTTTCCCATTATTAAGGTTCTTAGCCCACAAGGTTCTTTGTCCTTGTGTTACCAATCCAGCGTTGTCTTTTTCGAGATCTACTGTAAGTCTTGTTCCGGACTGCGTCTGCTGACGGCAGCCCCCTTAGTTCGAGTTTGGGAAGAATAAAAGACATTTTTCCGCACCTCTGCATCTGGGTCCTCTGTGCTCCACGTAACATATTCGGGTTCGCGGGCGTGATTGGAGGCTGACATGTTTCTTTTGTAGGTGCAGAAAGATTCACCGCAGTTTAAAGAAACTTAAATTAGCAATGTTTTTTCTTCTGACTTGAACTTGTTAATTAACAGCTTTAAGAGTTGTTGATGTATACTTTGAAATATGGAGGACGAGATGACTTTTCAACTCTGCTGTGAGAAAAAAGAATGCAAATAAACAAAACTCTTCCGAAAAACCTTCCAGGAAGTCAACAATGCGTTGGTGAAGTCTTTGGAGCCAACAACGAGATAAACAGCTGAGTCCTGGGAGGATGCTGTCATGGGCACCAGACAGCACAAACATTCATTTTAAAGGCTAATAACTGATCTATAGGGCATTAAACAACTCTTCAAATACTGATGGAGACCCGCTCACAGCTCATAGACTCTTTTTGAAGGGGGACTTAAGGGGTCAGTTGGTCCACTGACCTGCTCCTGGGAGATTACTGCCTTGTTGACAAAGTTCTGCAGCTGCTCATTGGCAAAGTTGATACACAGCTGCTCAAAGCTGTTCACTCCCAGGTCCTGCGGAGGAAGACCGCAGCACCGAGGTCACATAGACCACCACGAGAAGGCGCTCACTTTATTTTGAATTCCCAGATCTGAGTCCAAGCAGATGACAAACCTCAAAGCCGTAGATGTCAACTATGCCCACGGTGCTGTCCATCTCTGTGGGGCTCAGCCAGTCATTGGTCTGCTCCAACAACCAGTCAAACAGCACTGAATACAAGGCTTTGGCAATGGCATCTCTGCAAGAGAGGACATGAGGGGGCTATGCATTCATAATGGTGTTAACATTCACATTCATGATCTTTTTTTCCCCTGAAATAATTAAAGGCACAATGAGAAAGGCTCATTTGGTGTTGATAACTGGAGCCCCTGTGTACAAACACAAGCACCCGAGTCCCTTTGGAAAACCTCTCATTGTGCTGCTGGTCTGTCGGTCGGTACTCGGTACCCGAGCCTAGACGGTATATAAGACGCCAATGTTGTCATCATGTTGCACCACATCGTTTTGTGGACTTTCATTTTAAATCCATCTTGGGATTGAGGCCGTCACCATGTTGTTTATTCACAACAAACGGAAAAAAACCTACTTGGAATATGGAGGAGTGACTTACTGCCACCATACAGTGGATACAGAAAGTATTCTGACCCCTTTAAATGTTTCACTCTTTGTTTCATTGCAGCCATTTGCTGAAATGAAAAGTTAATTTTTATTTCTCATTGACAGAGAACACTCAGGAACCTTGAGTGCTGCCTGCAGAAATGCTTTTGTAACATTCCTTATCAAGTCCAATCCGTTTAATTAAACACAGCAGGACTCCAATGAAGGAGTAGAACCATCTCATGGAGGATCAGAAGAAATGGACAGCGTGTGTGTTAAATAGAAAAGTGTCACAGCAAAGGGTCTGAATACTTTTATACAATCAGAATTCTTTTCAACCTGCTGGTCAGTAGACAATACGAGTGTTCTGAATGGGCCTCACTCCGCAGAACCGGAGAAAGCCTAACCTGGCATCAACATGTTCCTACCTGTATTCTATGGCACTTTCCACAGACAGAGGGCAGTAGATCCTGTCGTAGGTCGTCTCCTGTGGACGAGATCCCTAATCAGTGTGCACACCTGCAGGCTTACGTGTGCTAATTCAGCCATAGGCCCGACGGCCGGTGCGTGAGGCCACTAACCGTGACCCTGTGAGTGATGACGGTCTGCAGGGCCTCAGAGGAAATCTGCAGCAAGGAGCCGACCCTCCTGGCCTCGGCCTCGCTGAAGATCCGCGCCACCTCGAACGACTCGCTCTGAAGAAAAAAGCACCAACGTGTATGATATCGTTGTCGGATCTGTGTACCTCTCACTCACTTTCCTGCACGCGCACACACACACCTCGTATGAGCTGAAGCAGATGTTGCCTAGCTGCAGGATGGAGGAGAGTATGGCC